TCGCCAGGGAAAATACACACTGTCACTTTAAGGGACTTTATCAAACGGTTCATGGAAGCATGATTCCTGCACCTAAACATCTTACAGATATGGGATTATGTTAGGAGTGTCTGCTGACGCAGTAGACACCCACATGGCTAAACAAAAGAATGCAAAAGTGAGGTTTGCATAATATGTTACCGCCAAACCACCATTTCATTCTTTCAATGAAATTTTGCCAAATGCTCAATGGGAGGAGTTATGTTCTGATGTGTCTACATGCAGCTTATTGAAGGTCTTGTGTGTAGAACAATAGAAAATGTATGTTTATCATGGAAAAGACGCCTCAGACCAATAGAGACCGTACAATGAATTAGTGACAGTAGGGGTCACCTGGTGCTTTGCTGCGGGGCAGTGTCCCGTGGCTGCCTGGCTGGTAGACCTTGCTAGGCGTGGCCTGTTGGGTGTACATGGAGTAGATTGATGAAGCTGCCAGAGTCTGAGGCTTCTGCATAACAGCAGCAGGTTCATCTGAGTGATGAAGGGTGTAGGGTTGCACAGCAGCAGCTGGAGGACTCTCCTGTTTGTTAGGCAAAGGTAGGGTGTTGCTGTAGCTGCACCGGACCTCCGGAGACTTGAGGTGACCATCAGCTGGTCTGGCCTTACCAGGGAATGTCCCTGTGTTGAACAAAGGTTTGGACAGGTGTGGTGGGCCAGGTACGGAGGGCTTGGGCTTGCTGGGAACCGGGGGTGGTACTGGCATCTTGGATGGACCTCTACCCGAGGCCTGCTGATGGAACACACAGCAGACATCCAGAGTCTGATCAGAGACTTCGTTTCACATCTTAGCTGCTTTACCTTCTCTGACTTTACATTCGTCTGTTAAAACCTCCAAGTTAGCTGCTGATATATGAGCAAACAGCGGTTAACCGAAAAAGGCCATACTAGCATTACAGAGAAACACAAAGTTATACTCTAATAGGCTCGACACACAGGAGGCGACAAACGACCGCGATCAGCGAAATTCGTCGCTGTCGCTTTTATTACCTGTCACACGGGAGGCGACCCGCGGCAGTGGTCAGCGGCAAAGCCGTCTACGCGTTCTGTTCCATGGCGAAATCGAAACTTCCGTTGTTTTGATTGGCTGTGTCAGGTTGGAGGGAATTAAGGTTATTTAAGCAGTTCAGAGTTAATAAAGTGGTAGATATGATGTTTCACAAGGTGCTGCTAGAGTTATGTGAAATCTTACTTCTGATTTTACTATATAAAACATAATAATAATCAACTTCTCCTCCATGTTTGCTCGGAGGTGTACGGAGCATCCTGTCCGCTCATTGGTCAGTGAATGAAACCTCCGTTGATTGGTCCTTGTCCGAGCGACAGCGATGAAAAGTTGGGTGGGTCGCACGAGCGCAAAATTCCACATGCACATTTTTCGCGTTTCGCTTAGTAGGAAGGAGACCCGCGATTATCGCTTTGTCGCGCATGTCTCGTTGAAAATGAATGGAGGAGAGGCGATGTCGCCTCCCGTGTGTCGAGCCCATAAGAGTTGACTATTATAATATTTATTTTAATCAGCTAATCGTCAGTAAACTCCTGGGGCCAGCAGAGATGACTAGCATCGAAAAGAGTATGCTAGTTTATTTAAAAGCTAGTAAAACACTGCTAATCTGTAGAAAAAGGTAAGAGACAAGAACTGAACTCTACCTGGTCTTCTCCGAGCGGACCGTCAGCAGTGTGACGGGAGCGTGACGGGGCAGTTTCAGACTCAGAGAGGCCCTTCGGGTCTTTTAGGGCACCAGTACCTATACAAGATACATCAATTTAGCATTTTGTAGAAAACTAGATCACTTCTTTGTTTTTGGAGCTTTGGTTGAATGCAGGGCTGTGTGCACAGAGAGCATCCCATTGAGCCAAACATTGTCTGATCAAGCAGCGGCTCTACATTTTACATATGGGGGCCATGCAGAGCCTTGTGTTCCCAAAACCAGCTGACCTGGGTTGTGGCGGCTGAGGCCAGACATACGGGGCAGGGTTGAGGGATGTCCGACACCTACGCTGGTCCACTCGGGTGTGCTACTGATCTTGGAGACTTTGAACCCTATGAAACAGGAAGAACCAGAGTCAGCACTGGGACAGAAAACGTATCGTATGACTCAGGGTCAAACTCCTTCTGAACTCTTGAAGCAACACTAAAGAGCGTTCACACTTTGAGTTATTCCTGTAGATGAGGGTTTCAGAGATTCTGTAGGTGGAGACGTGATCAAGTTCACACTGGACAGCACCCTGTAGCCCTCTGCTGACCAGAAACCGCACAGAAGATGTTTGTGGGACAGGTAGATGGGGCTTCCACACTAGTTCTGCAGTGGAATGCTGAAGTTTGGGCAGCCTTGTTAATCTCCATGACTTTCCTGTAGAAATTGTTGGTTGTTACAATAAAACATTTCAGGTACGTATATCATGTAGGACACACACACACTGATGTTTGAGAAGTGAAACTAAGTTTACAGGATATACAAAAAACTAGGTAAATGCTTAAATTCAGACACTGTTGTCATTTTATTGATTCTAAAACCTTCAGAACTAAACATTGGAACTCAAAATTGGTTTGGTAAGCTCAGTGACCCTTGACCTCCATTCACAGGTGCATCCAGTTCAGGGAGGACAATTGTAAGTCTCCCTCCTCTTTAATATTCTCTGAAGAGCAGCAACACGGGGTCTCAGAACAACTCTCACAAGAGCTGAAAACAAAGATGGTTCACCATCCTGGTCTCAGAGATTTCAGCTTCTGTTTCCACACTTAGGAACATACTGAGGAAATAGACCACAGGCTCAGTTCAAGTTAAGGCTCCAAGAGGCAGAGCAAGAAAAGTCTCAGATAAACTGAAGAGAAGAAGTCAGAGTCACCCACAGAGCAGCACCAAAGACCTACTGTCACACCCTGTCCTGTCTCCCCATTCTGTCCAGTCATGTGTTAATTGCTCCCACCTGCCTCTCGTTTTCCAATCACCCAAGCTCCCAGCCCTCATGTATTTAAACCCTCGCAGTTCTGTGTTTTTGTCGGTTCATTGTTTCTATGTCCAGCGTGTTTTATATGAAAGCCTTTGTAAACCGTTCCTGTCTGCCTTTTTCACCCGCGTTTGGATCCTCGCCTCCGCCCACACGCCGTGACACCCACAACATCATCTTGCTGCAGATGGAGTCACGGTGCACCATTCAACTATTGGGTGCACTTTCCACAAGGAGATGCTGCATGTGAGAGTGATGCAGAGGAAGTCTTTTCTCCACCCACAGCACCAACAGCAGCTTGAGGTCTGCTAAAGCACATCTGGACAAGCCAGCTTCATTCTGGAATGAGATGCTGTGGACTGATGAAACCAAACGGAGTTATTTGGGAATAACAAGGATCGTTATGCATGGAGGAAAAAGAACAGCATTCCAATAATGACTTCTATCTAAAATGGTGGCGCGATGCTGCCTCTGGTGTGCCCAGGCTTTAGGCTCCTCCCCTTCCGGTCGGCTCATGGATCTCAGAATGAGGATCAAAAGTTATTTTCTAATCTGCTTTGCCCTGAATCACACACGTTGTACTTAAGTTTAAATTATAATAATAATTATGTGAGTTTCGACTATGTCGGCCATGTACTTTAAGATTTATTAGCTTGTAAAAGCTGGTAAATAAAAGACTACAGCAGAATCTCCTCCCCCCAGCACAGCCACAACTTCACAAGACCAGACTGATGGTGGTTTTCTCCACATTTAATGCTCCTTCTGTCAGACTGGAGACGGACGTGAAGCTCACTAAACTCACAGACATGCTTCTTCTTCTCCTTGTCTGGTTCGATGAGCAGTTGGAGTCCTCTACTGTCATGACTCCCCGGCTGACACCCTCCTCTGCCTCTGCTGCCTCCTCATTCAAGCCCTCAGCCACTTCATTACCATCACCTGCACTCTGTCATCAACGCAATCACCTCACCCTGCTCACCCGGTTCCACTGCTATATATTCACCAGCGAGCCACCAGTTCCCTGCCAGATTATTGAACGCTCTTTGTCAGTAGATCTTCCAGCCTTTCACCTTGCCTGATCACAGCCTCCGGACCTCGTTTTCATGCCTGACCCCTGCCTAGGTGTCATGACCTCTGCGTTCCTGAGCTCCGTTTACACACAACACCGTGGACAGCTCCTCGCTCCGGCCCCGCTGAGATCTAGAGGATCAGCACCATGGAGAGAGGCACGCTGACACCAGCTGCGGATAATCAGCACTCATCAAGAAGCCTTACAAAGGAGGAAGAGACGGAACAGAGAGAGGTCGAGGAGAGAGAACAGAGATCGAGCACAAGAGAGAGACGAGCAGCAGAGGAACGACACGGAGACTTCAGAGACGAGAGACGAAACGGGGAAAACCTGAGACCGCATTTTGCCACAACCAGAGGGAAACCGAGAGAACTAGACTTGCATTTTTATACCGACATGGAGATCTTTCCTGGAGGAGAACCACCGGCTTCCAGAAAGAGAGAGAGAAAAGGGAGAGCGTGAGACGCCTGTCACAGCTGGAGTAACACAGGACCAGAAGGGGGAAACTTACTCCGGGCAGGGTATCGTACGAGTGTGGGGCCTTGCCCAGATCTTTAGACTTATATTTAGTATAATAGATTTAATCAGACCTCTGGCATTATTATTTTCATCTACCTTTTTATACCTGCCAGGGACACCTTTAGTTAATAAACTCCTTTTGAACTTTTATTTGTCCTCGTGTTTGATCCCACCACACTTGTGTTGCCCCTCCTGGTAAATCCTAGGCCTGGAGGGGTGTAACACTAGGACTCTGCCTGCCATCACGACCCTCGCCTGTCTTTGACCCCTTCTCTAGCCTGTTCCATTTACCTGCTTCGCCTCATTCTGGTTTTTGACCCACGCCTCCTCTCCGACTCTGTCTCCAGCCTCGCCCTCCTCGGGTAACGCCACGTCTAGTAAAGACTTTTAAAGGAGCTTTACTGTGTTTGATGTCATCACGGGTCCTCCAAGTTCAGGTTATGACATCTACGCCTTTTCACACAAAAATAGACGCTTTCTTTGGCATCAAAATGTGTCTTTAAGATTCACATCATGAGTCAAATCCATGCCACATATCAAACAAGATCAGAAAATGACGTTTATGCTCTCATACCGGGCACTGGTTTGGCTGGTTTGGCTGGGGGCTTCAGGACTGAGGGGTATGTGGGTAAGGTGGAGGTGCCGTCTCCGTGCGTTGGTTTCAGCAGCATGTCCTGGCCTTCCTGGGACCCAGAGGTAGAGCAGGACTGGATGTACGGCCCCACCGCTGCTACTCTGGAGCTCCCTCCATGCTGTGGGGCAACGCCGTCTGGAGCCACCTGAACAAAGCAAAGAAACTTCTGTGGCAGACAGAAATGACCAAACTAAGAAAAGCGGGTAGAACAGACATTTGATCTCCTCCAGTGATATAAACAAAATGTTCTGACACATCTCTTGCATTCATCCAAACTCACCGGCAGATTCTCCTTCTGTTGCAGGTCAGCCCTCTTCTTCCAGAGGCGCTCTCGGAGCTCAGACAGGTGTCGGTCCATGGCTACGACCTCCAGGTTCCTCTTGTTGAGGGCTTCTTTCTGCTGCTGCAGCCTGGTGCTTTGGTCCTGGTTGAGCTTGCTCCTCAGCTGACGACATGGGTGAAAAGCATCACACTGATGTTCCAGAACCCTCTCCTTGTCCAGTCCACAGCCCTGGGGGACTTCGCCCTTCGCCCTTTTACTGGGAGTTTTTTATCAGCTGATTTCTAACACACATGGTCTTGTTTTGTTTTTAGTTTTTGAGGAATGTTGTTTTGTGCATTCTGCTCAAACACCTTAACTTCCCGTTTTGGTTGTTGGCTAGCTTCAGACTTGACGTGACCGGCCCAGGTTCGGCAGGTTTTGCCACACGGGCTGAAGAGCAAATCTGGGTTGTCTCCTCCCATTAGGACCTGAAACTCCCTCCCACACACTAGCATAGTTTAGACCTCTGCAGGGGATTGATTGATCTTATTCTCTTCCATACATTTAATCACCTATTTATTCTCTTCTGAACAGACTAAAAAGAGTTGACATCTAAAACTAAAAGTTGGAGGTTAGCTTTACCAAGCCGGGAGGCCCAGCAGCAAGGCAGAGAAACGCGTCCTGCATGTGATGTTTTCACTCAGAGTAGAGAAGAAGATGAAGAATGAAGCTGTGTGTTTTTGTAGGTGAGGGTTTAGTCCTACTAGCTGCAGGAACCCGTGTTTCCACACGTTAGCAGACAAAGGGTGAAATCGTTCAGAGCCGGGACAGAACTAAGAACTGACTAAAAGGTTTCCCACTGGGGCTCCATGGCAAACCCATGTTTATGTCTCACCTTCAGCTCTCTGTAAAGGCTCTCCAGCTGAGCGGAGGAGGACGCGTTGTGTTGCTGAGGAAGAAGAGCTGCTGGTCTACTGCTCTTCAGAGCCTGCAGCTGGTTGCTCAGCTCCTCCACCCTCGCTGCAGCCACCAACAGCTCCTTCTGCTTCTGGTGAAACAGGCCGGTCATCTGCTCGACCTCCTCCACTGGCGTCACAAACAGTTTCATTATTATTATTATTATTATTATTATTATTGTTATCTTGTTAAATCTTCTAAGACATCTCACATCTCTTAAGAAATGTTCTTTTCACCCAAGCCAGGAGTCCTCAATTATAATGGTCCGAGGGCCACACACAAAAAAGACCCAGAAGCAAGAAGGCCGGGGGGGGGGGGGGCTTTAGATCACTAATTGCAGCTACCGGGCTGATATCTGAAATGTTTGTCTTAGATCCAAAGCAGTTAGCTATGGTTGGTTAGTAGCTTAGTAGTTGCAGCTGTTGTGGCTAGCAGGTAGTGACTCGCTTACGTATTTAATGAAACAAATACATACGTGATTTTAAAAGTAAAAGGCTCGTTACAGAAAGTTTCCTCGTGGAGTCTTGACCCCGCATGAGGATTGTTAAAGTTAAAGAATTCCCCTGAGCCAGACAGGAAGTGAGACAAGGTTTAGAGGTAAGGAGATTTAATGAAATGATTAAATGGGGATGGGGAACCATCAACACGACTGAGTAAGGCGGTACTCGTGGTGCGAGAACACGGCTCAGGGTTCCACAAGTCAAAAAAGGTTGGGAAGCACTGCTTTAGATCACAGTCACCCCGGATTTCCACCGGAGCCGTCAGCAGCACGTCACTGCAGCAGCACGTCATAGCTGCTGATAGGAACCGCTGTGGTCAACAGAACCTTTTCCACTGGAGCCGTCAGCAGCGCGAGTCGGCCGCGTCTCAGGAGCAGCATGTCGCGGCCTTTACGCGCCGGTTCTATTTTCTACGCGCGACGCCTCTGAAATGGGTCAAGTTCGACATTTTTGGGGAAGGAAAGACAGGAAATCGGACGCGGAAATGGAGAGAAGCTCCCGAGATTTTCTGAATAAAGAACGTACTGCCTTCCGGTTGCTTTACTTTTAAAAACAGTTACTAACTGTGCGTCCCCGTGAGAAGTTATCGCCTAGCTAGCGGTCTCCTTTGTTTTTCAGGTCCGTATTGGCGATTATAAAATGGACAGAACATAAAACACAAACATTTTGGAGCCATGTTGTAGTTTTCTCCTGCTTGTTGTTGTGTTTACTGACGAAGTCACTCGTGTGACTTCGTGCTCGGTCGGTGACAGCTGCTCCCCTGCTGCTTCGCGTCTCGTGGGAAGGGCCAAGCAGCAGCTTACGCGAGCAAGACGTGCTGCTGACGGCTCCGGTGGAAACCCGGGGTTAGCCTTGATAATAATGGCTATGTCCTCCTCTGTAAGTCACTTCGGACAAAAGAGTCTGCCATAAACGATAAGCAACCGGACATTTCTTGGGATCAGATGAAAAACAGGAATGGTCATCAGATCCATGAGAGGCACCTCTCTGGTGGAACCAGCTTCCAGTTACCACCCATCAGGAAGACATGCTGCTGGTTAGCATTAGCTTGGGTTGTACGTTGGCTTCACATGGGTCAGATATGTGTTTTCCAGTCCGAGGTGACTATTTTTTTCAGAACTCCTGCCCAACGGTCCGACTGGGACCGAGGTGACACTACGAACTGATTGGCCAGCTGAAATCACACCTACTGCCTCCGACTGGCGCTAATGTGTAACCCCAAAATTCCACTATCTCCGCTCCGCTCTGGCAGCGAACTCCGCAGCAAAAACGGTCCCATTGTAGTAAATCAGAGCTGTTCCACCACTGCGGCCGTGCGGTGCAGTGCGCCGCCCGCCGTTCCGCCATCCGGCAAAAACAGGATTGATTCTATTTTTGCCGGACGCCGGAGCACCTCCGCAGTCAATGGACAGAAACCACAACCGCCCAACAGGAGAGGGAGCAAGCACAACTTCCGTTATTTCACAATAAATCGATAAACAAAAGGCGTTTTTTGTTTCATATGCACAGGTTTAACAACTTTTAACAACTATCAATGGCGGTTGAACTTTAAATGCACAAAAGTAAGCCATAAATACAGTTTCCACTATCAAAGTAGTCACACTCTGTTGATCCAGACACTGCTGATCTCTCAACACACATGATGGGCAGATTAAACAGTTCATGTCGATGCTTCTCCCACACAACGGGTGTTTGGATCTAACTTCCGCGTTTATTGCTCGGACTGTATCGCAAGATCTCGAAAATCCCGCGCATGCTTGTTTGCGCACCTCAGGTCTCCGTACCGGAGCGGAGCCGTTGTAGAGCGGGTACCAGTATAATTTGAGTTCGGAAGTGAGCGGCAGCGGAAAGCGGGGGCGGAGCTGATGTGGTGGAATTTTGGGGTTAGTGATTCAGCTGCAGCAACATGCTGAGACAAAAACAAACCAACACTCGGCCCTCTGACCTAGCCGGCTGTTGCTGCAGCGTTTCTGCTCCACCTGGTCCCTGAGGGCCCGAACCCGCAGCAGTTTGGCCTCCTGATTATGTACGTTGTCTCGAAGCTGTCGTAGTAGCTCCTGTTCCTGATGCTGCTGCTGCCTCTCATCCTGCAGCTTCAGGAAACTCAGCTGCTGCTCCTGGAATGCACAACAAGGGCACGCCGTTGTTAGGATTCCTGCAGAAGCCCAGAGTGATGCGGGTGAACCTGCCTGTCCACCTCACACCGACCCTAAACTACAGCAAAGGATCAGCTGACACCACATTAGGATGAGCCTCAGGAGTGAGCTCCAAACCACAAACTGTCAACTCAGCAGGAGTGTTCAGCCAGCACTCAGGTAGAAGTACAGGTACTAGGGTATGAAGGACTTGTGTAGAGGTTGAAGTATCAAATCAAGCTTTTACTTTAGTAAGACTAAAAACTTCAGGTTTTACTACTTCGAGTATAAAACAATAGTAAAAAAATGCAATTAAGCACTCCCACGCCTCCTCAAAACATTATGTCCTAATTTTATATAAAAACGTGAAGCATGGAGACCCAGAACCTCTACTTGAGTAGAGAAATGAAGTATTGTACTTAGTTACTTGACACCTTAGACCGGTTCCCCAACCTTGGTCCTCAGGGTACACTGTCCATGTTTTCCATGTTGCCCTTGTAAACACCAGTGTTTCCCCGCTGCCACACACCCAGCTTAGATGAATGAGTGATTAACAGGCATCTGCAGTACCTGATGTCCTCCTGAGGAGGCGATGTAACCTGGTGTGCTGAAGCAGAGACGTGGACAACATACAGGTCAGTGTGCCACGAGGACCAGGCTCGGGAAACACTGCATTTCATTTAATATGAAATTATCAGCTGTTATGAAACCTTCCTTAGATTCAACGTGCTGTACTTCAGTCAAACAGAACAGCTGTCACATCCCATAATAGCCATGCAGTAACCCACAAGGTAGACTTTATGGTAGAAGTACTGCAAACATGTCCACAATCCCACCATCCTTTAGAAGTCAGGTGAGTGGGACTGAAAGGGTTTTAGGGGGTTAACTGGACAGCTGAACCATCTGCAGGTGGGTCTTCTGATCAGTCGCTGTCCATCCGTGGTCCTCCAGGGCTCCCGTCCATCTCAGTGAATTTTTGCTTATGCTTTCTCCTGATCTTGTGTTTAACAGGAGGGTACCTTAGAGGCCAGCTGCTGCTGCCGGACCTGGATCTGCTGCTGCTGCTGGGTGGCCAGGTCCTGCATCTGGCCCAGCGTCAGACGAGGAACTGAAAGCTGCAAACACAAAGTTGACGTTAACATTTTCAGTTGAAGACATTTGTTTTTCCTTTGCAGATGAACGGTGCCAATAGCTTCCCCCAGTCTTCATATTAATTAACATTTATATAATAAAAATTAGGTGGAAGCACAGAATAAGGGCTTTTCATCTGACACCAAGTAGCAATCCCAACCCCATTCTCAGCGGAGGTCTTCATCATCATCGCCATCACCTGATCTGCAGCTCTGGATCCACCTGGACACAAAACAACACTCTTTATAACAACCTTTACCTATAATTACAGTGTTTTTATGTACTGTGGTGCTTGGATCAGTCTGTTTGACACGTTAAAACAACCAGAACCAGAAACCCGCGATGCCGGAGGAACGAGGTAGCACTAAACACCTGCCTCTGTTTTCAAGGTCCAAAGTCTTCTGTTGTAGTTTATCCTAAAACTGTGAAGTAGCAGCCGGCTGTTTCTCCTTCTCTGATGTTATTGAGCGGAGAACCTCTCACGCCTGTGGCATTGTGTTGCTTAAGATGTGAGTGTGTGATGAGTGGAGGACCCTGTCACGTTGAAGGGATGGTTTGGACCCAAAAAAAATGCAGTAACCCAGGATGACACGAAGGCAGGAGCTGATATAAGTAAAAATCCTTTATTTTGGAGGAAGAACAAAAATAAATCCAAATGGCAGGGAGCCCAAATCCAAAAATCCAGGGAGTCAAAAAACACAAGAGGAACAAGCAGACTGACAGAACAAATAACGCTGAGAAATAACAATGAACCGACACCAGACACAGACAAGACAGGGCTTATATACACAGGGAGAAGTGGTTAGGGAAAATGGCGGCAGGTGTGTGAAGTGAGAGCTGGAGGGAAGTCAGGTGAACCTAATAATCGACATGGGCATACGGAAACAGAGGAGGGCCAAATAAACCTAAAAAACTCTAAAACACAAAACTAAACCTAAAGGCTGCGGGAAGGACTAACACACACACACACACACCATCACACACACAAATGCACTAATATAAACAGGAATGGGGACTGGACAAGCACACACACACACACACACACACACACACACACAAATGCACTAATATAAACAGGAATGGGGACTGGACAAGCACACACACACACACACACACACACACACACACACACACACACACTGAGCAGAGGACTGACACACACACACACACACGTCGAGCTGGGGACTACAAGGACACAGAATGTAAATGAGACCTGGAGGGGCTGGGGATGAGTGAGATGATGCAGGACCTGGGAGGAATAGACTTAAAGGACTACCAACATAAGACACATAATGGACGCAGACGAAGGACACATGAGGGCGCTATGAGACACAAAAGGGGAATCTAAAGAGGGACGGAGGACATAAGGAGACACATGGGGAAGACACAGACGCAGACCATGACAGACCCAGGGAAGCGCGGCGGTTTGGGGAGACCGGCAGCCGGATGGTGCTTTCAGTCCGAGCCGTGTTATTGGAGGAGGTTTTTAGACAAAGGCAAAAGAAATCCAATATTTAGTTGTTCTCTTTTTTTTTTTTTACATCTCCACGTTATATTTATAGCAGTGCTGTGTTAGAACGTTGTTAAGATGCATGAAAAACGGTTTTCAGCTACAGTTGTCTAACAGGGTTTTCACTGTGAGGGATGATTTAGTTTCTACAGCAGAGTGATGAGAGTACTGCAGCCATGTTTAATACTTTAATTTATACAATTACACATTTTATTTTACCACAGAGGAATCTAACAGGAAGGTATTCCTCACCTGGCCTCTGCGAGTCTCGGTCAGGTGCTCGTCGATGGCGTAGTGTGTACCGCACCTCCCCCATCCGATGCGTCCATCGCTGCAACACCTGACTCATGCGCTCCCCCTCCTCCACCACGCGTTCTGAGAAGTGAGAAACGACCCCTGAGTGGACAGATTTCCTTCTCACGATGACCCACGTTCAGATTCTGAGCAATCTTAAAAGATCTATTCTTTGTATCTGAACTCTGTCTCGTTGCTGCAGCCGTTTGTTAAACGTTTAAACAACAGCACGAAGATAACAGCTGATCACACGTGTGTGGGTGGGTTGTGGTTCCTACCTGTCCTCCCCCACAGCTCAGCCAGGTAGCAGTCCACCACTCCAGGCTCCTTGCAAAGCTCAACAACATCTCTGCACAGGGTCTCGGGCATGATGGGGACCTCGCTGAAGTGATGATCATTGTTGCTGAGGTACACAGTCAGAAACATCTGAGAACACACAGAAGAGGATCAGGTAAGACTTATGGACCAATAACGGTTCTAAGCGCGAAACCAATGTAGTCATGGTAACAGGTAGACTCTTACATGTCTGTGTGTTCACCTGACTGGCCACTGGTGCGTTTACAGGAGGAGTCAGAGGTCAGTCAGGATGCATGGGGGCAGCAGGTCTACCCCAAAAGCTCTGATAACCATAGATATGTTTATGTGCATATCTATGCTGATAACTATGGGGTGCCATTTGTAAAGTCAAACAGTCATAATCTAACAGCAATATTTTTGGTTATTTAGCATATCATAAGAGAAAAAATTGGGGGTTCACTTTTTCAAAGTCATATTTTCACCATGTTATTCATACATTTATAAATGTTAAAGTTTCCAAATAAATATTTAGTTAGCAAGCTAAATATTTAATTAGTAGTTAAATATTAATTTTGCAAACTAAATATTTAGGTCTGATCTAAATATTTAGTTTGTAAAATAAATATTTAATTCACTAACTAAATATTTAATTTACTAATTAAATATTTATTTTGGAACTAAATATTTAATTTGTAAATTAAATATTTAATTTGTAAATTAAATATTTATTTCCGAAAAAATATTTAGATCCCAGCTAAATATTTATTTGGGAGCTAAACATTTAGTTTGCAAAATCAGTATTTGGGAAATAAAAATTTAAGTCTGACCCAAAAATATAATATATAAATATATTTCCCAATTTAGCTGGGATCTAAATATTTATTTCAGAAAATAAATATTTAATTTACAAATTTAATATTTAGTTCCAAAATAAATATTTAATTAGTAAATTAAATATTTGGTTAGTGAATTAAATATTTATTTTACAAACTAAATATTTAGATCAGACCTAAATATTTAGTTTGCAAAATAAATATTTAACTACAAATTAAATATTTAGCTTGCTAACTAAATATTTATTTGGAAACTTTAACATTTATAAATGTATGAATAACATGATGAAAATATGACTTCGAAAAAGTGAACTCCCGATTTTTTCTCTTATATATGCTAAATAACCAAAAATATTGCTGTTAGATCATGACTGTTTGACTTTACAAATGGCACCCCATAGATAACAGTCTCATTTACATTCTGCTGTTAGCTTACGTGGTGCTAGCTCTCAGAGTCGAAAGTGTCTGTTATTTTACCCTTTTTCACCTTTTAGTGAACAGTAGTTTTTCTACAGATATTTTTCTTGCCTGTCCTGACCTGCCTTTGCCGGCTGCATCACTATAAATAGAAACATGAAGTTATCGTTGTTGGTAAACATAGAACTGGTCCGGCTGACCCAGTTACGCTGGTGTGTGAACACGTTCACCAACAGATGAGTAAAAACAAAAGCTGTTCTGTACTACTGAAAACTAAAACAGCTATTTAAGGACAAAACTCCCAGGATGCACCAGGCCATCTGTTACTTCAGCAGGGTGTCTGCTAACAGGCTGGGAGCCAGAGAGCTTCCCTGTATGCAGCCGTTTCAAATCATAGACGTAGCTTAATGCTGCTGATGTAGGATTGGAGGATTTGAACCTTCCACCTGCAAAGAATGATCAGCTGTTTGCTGTTGGGGCTTTCACCAACGGCTCCCACACAACAGATCTTTTCTGTACCATTGTGTACAGGCGGAACAAAACGGTCACCAGCTTATGTATTCTTACTGACAAAGATCAAAGCTAATGATGACGACGAGTAAAAAAACGCGCTTCAGATCTGAACCTGGACCCGACCGATGAGGCTAAGATTCCTGTGCTCCAGCAGATCCTCAACAACTTCAAGTCCTCCGTGATGTAATATGTGGAAATGTGGCAGCTGGCACGCCTCGGGACACATCCCAAGTGTTTGTAGGCAGCCATACGTCCAGCAGCATCATGTGATGTTCTAATAGTGGATTAAACACACACACACACACACACACACAGACACACACACACACACACACACACACACACACACACACACACACACACACACACACACACACACACACACACACTAAGCCCTGGTGACAGTAAATGACACAAAACTGCATTAACTTTAATTTCTAGTCAGGTGTAATAAAAGTGTCAGGGTTGGTTAATAGCAGTCATCATCAAGCTCTTTAGTAGAACCGATTTAAAAGCAGGCACATCCGTGGGCAACCTGGTTCTGCTGCCGACTTTTATTTTTCTGCATATTTGGCTTCCTGAAAAACATCTGCTTCATAAATGCTCTAAAACAATATTTACTTTCATTTGTTTTATTTTTAAAGGCACACTAACTCCGTTTTAAGCTTGCTCTTAGCACCCTCTAGAGTCCGCTTTAATCTAGTGTTGTGAAATCAAACCTGAAACTCTCCTCCTTGCTGTGCGTTTGTCTTTTTAACACCTTAATCTATCAGCTGACAAGTCTCCTCAGCCTTCATTAGTGTCTGTACATACACCCTCTTGGACAGATACTTGATACTTTTCATAACGTCTCTTATCACCTATATGCAGATGACATTCAGCTGTACTGCCCCTTTAAGGATTCTGAGTTCTATAAACTGTCTGAATTACTAGAGTGTCTATCAGCGATCACCAGCTGGCTAGAAGATAACTTCCTTCAGTTAAACTTTGAAAAGACTGAATGTCTGATCATTGCCCCTGAGAGGTTTTTATTGTGCAGCGCTTTAGTCGGCTGCTTGGCTGCGTTGAAACGCTTAGCAAATAAAATGGTTTGGTACACCTATCTCTTGCATTAGCCTCTGACATAAAATAGATGGTGAAACTCTAGGATTAGAAAAGCCTGACAGATCTATGTCACACCGTCACTAACATTCTCAAGAAATCCTGTAAAAAACTACGAGTCTTAAAATTTGGTCACAATACAGGAACCATTTCAAGTATATCCTCCCATCTGTTCCTCCTGGTCTCACCGACGGTACACATGCCCAGTGGAGACGTTATGGAATCACCACCTTTGATGAACTCCATAGGAATGGTGCGTTTGATTTATTTATGTTTTCTGACCGTTATTCTAAAGCAAATCTTCCAGCTTCCGGCTGTCCTATTATTTTCAGATTCGACATTGCGTCTCTGCTCTCTTTCCATCATACCCCACTCTTCTGAGCACCTGACCTGGGGAGGAACTTTTATCTTTCAGACCTGTTTAAAAGATCATTTATATCCTTGACATATACACAACCTAATGATTCGGATGCTCATTTGGTAAATGGCAGGTAGGAAAGCATGGGAGCAAGAACTGGGTGTGGTCTAGTTAAAGCTTTGTAAAATAAGTTTTTACCAGGTGTTTTAGTCAGAAGAGCTGAAAAGTACCAATGGATGTGTTGGAATATCCGGATTAAAAACGACAGTCTAAGAATAAATAGTTTAATAATGTTAAGCCCCTGGTGTTAAAGAGTCTAGTTACTCGCAGGCAGAGAGGCACATGAGGGGCGGGACTAGGCAGCTCAAAAATAACCAATCAGAGAAAAGACGAAAATGCCGACTATACCGCTCAGTGCTGTAGTTTTTTAGCTGTAGTAAAAAATGGCGTCTGGTGACAGCGCACACATCTTTTTTTTAGAAGACAGGCTTTTAGCGCTTCTATTTGTCGTGGTTTTAAAGACATTCAAGTCATTTAGAAGAGGAAATAGCCGCAGCGAACTCCGCTTCAGTCGCCATGTTTATGACAAACTCGACGTTGTGGTGTGTGACTCACTGTGACAGACACTGTCACTTTCTGGCCACTAGAGGGCCTCAGTACTCTGCCTGCGCAGCTGCAGGCTATTAGAGAGTTCTGTTTGCTCGTTTTTAGAACCTTTTATTACAAATAAAACCATTTTAAACTCCACCACCATCTTTCTTACGTTACCCCCTCCTTCGCATTTTAACAACACATGTCGGGGACGTAACATAAATGGGAACCCCAGGAAGGGCAGGGGCTAACCCCCCTCTCTTTGCTGGTTTGTATGTGCGTATGCACATGTGCTAAATCTGCCCGCCTGCGACGTGCATGAAGAAAAGGGCTTTTAGATAGCCTGTTTTGTTTTTATCTGGAGCTCTCTTGTTTTAATCCTCCAGAGTCTTCGTCCCTCCAGAGTCTTCGTCCCTCCAGAGCCTTCGTCCCTCCAGAGTCTTCGTCCCTTCGTCCATCCAGAGTCGTCGTCCCTTCGTCCATCCAGAGTCTTCGTCCCTTCAGCCCTCCAGAGTCTTCGCCCCTTCGCTTCTTTGAGTCGTCGTCCCTTCGTCCCTTTGAGAGTCTTCGTCCCTTCGCCCCTCCAGAGTCTTCGCCCCTTCGTCCCTTTGAGAGTCTTTGTCCCTTCGCCCCTCCAGAGTCTTCGCCCCTTCGTCCCTTTGAGAGTCTTTGTCCCTTCGCCCCTCCAGAGTCTTCGTCCCTTTGAGAGTCTTCGTCCCTTCGTTCCTTTGAGAGTCTTCGTCCCTTTGTCCCTTTGAGAGTCTTCGTCCCTTTGTCCCTTTGAGAGTCTTCGTCCCTTTGAGAGTCTTCGTCCCTTCGCCCCTCCAGAGTCTTCGCCCCTTTGAGAGTCTTTGCCCCTTTGAGAGTCTTCGTCCCTTCGCCTCTTTGAGAGCCTTCGTCCCTTTGAGAGTCTTCGCCCCTTTGAGAGTCTTCGCCCCTTTGAGAGTCTTCGTCCCTTCGCCTCTTTGAGAGCCTTCGTCCCTTTGAGAGTCTTCGCCCCTTTGAGAGTCTTCGTCCCTTCGTCCCTTTGAGAGTCTTCGTCCCTTCGTTCCTTTGAGAGTCTTCGTCCCTTCGTCCCTTTGAGAGTCTTCGTCCCTTTGTCCCTTTGAGAGTCTTCGTCCCTTTGAGAGTCTTCGTCCCTTCGCCCCTCCAGAGTCTTCGCCCCTTTGAGAGTCTTTGCCCCTTCGCCTCTTTGAGAGCCTTCGTCCCTTTGAGAGTCTTTGCCCCTTTGAGAGTCTTCGCCCCTTCGCCTCTTTGAGAGCCTTCGTCCCTTTGAGAGTCTTCGCCCCTTCGCCTCTTTGAGAGCCTTCGTCCCTTTGAGAGTCTTCGCCCCTTCGCCTCTTTGAGAGTCTTCGTCCCTTCGCCCCTCCAGAGTCTTCGCCCCTTTGAGAGTCTTCGTCCCTTCGCCCCTTTGAGAGTCTTCGTCCCTTTGAGAGTCTTCGTCCCTTCGCCCCTTTGAGAGCCTTCGTCCCTTTGAGAGTCTTCGCCCCTTCGCCTCTTTGAGAGTCTTCGTCCCTTCGCCCCTCCAGAGTCTTCGCCCCTTTGAGAGTCTTCGTCCCTTCGCCCCTTTGAGAGTCTTCGTCCCTTCGAGAGTCTTCACCCCCCCATCCTCAAGAGTCTTCGCCCCTTTGAGAGCCTTCGTCCCTTTGAGAGTCTTCGTCCCTTCGCCCCTCCAGAGTCTTCGCCCCTCCAGAGTCTTCGTCCCTTCGTCCCTTCGAGAGTCTTCGTCCCTTTGCCCCTCCAGAGTCTTTGCCCCTCCAGAGTCTTCGTCCCTTCGTCCCTTCGAGCGTCTTCGTCCCTTTGAGAGTCTTCACCCCCCCATCCTCAAGAGTCTTCGCCCCTTTGAGAGTCCTGTGTCCCCTCATCCTCCAGAGTTTTTTAAAGAAAAAGTTTTAAACGTCGGTAGTGTGTTTTTACTAACTTTTATCCTTTTTTTTCGTTTATGTGTGGGGGTGTTACGGTTGCCAGTCTGGCCAGTGAAGAGCAGGAGCCAGGATCACCCAGCCCTAGTGAATAAGCCTGACTCCACCCCTCCTCCTCCTCCTCTCTCCCGGGCTCCTGAGGAGCACAGCTGATCTGAATCCTCCTGATTACCAACACCTGTATAAAAAGGCTGTGCCTTCAGCAGTCTGGGAGGCAGCAGTGCAGGGGTTCTGCTGTCTCCCGGTTGTGTTTGTTGTGTTTGTTTTCAACCCCTTCGTTTAGATTCGTGTGGATGCGTTTTAAACTTAGGTTTGGTTTTTAACTCTGAGTGAGAAGTTTTGGATGATCCAGTGGGATCTTCTTGCTGTTTGGTTTTAAGGTTAACTTTGTTTGTGGCAATTTTACTGACCTCGGTTTTAAACACCTTCGTTGTGATAAAGCTTTTTAAAATACGTTTTACCAGGTGTTTTAGTCAGAAGAGCTGAAAAGTACCAACGGATGTGTTGGAATATCCAAATTAAAAACGACAGTCTAAGAATAAATATTTTAATAATGTTAAGCCCTAGATCGACACTTTCAGCGTTTAATAAACCAGATTTTGTCTAATGTGCCTCATTGCAGCGCGTATCTCGATGACATCGTCATCTACACTCCGTCCTCGGATATTCACCTTCAGACCTTAGCCCAAGTGTTTGACCGACTGAAAATGGCTAACTTGACTTTAAATCTCGCCAAGTGTGAGTTTGTGAAAGCCACTGTTTGTTATTTAGGAAAGGAGGTAGGGCAAGGCCAAGTGAGGGCGCTCTCTGATAAAATCCAGACGATTGTTTCGTTTCCACCACCGACCACACCCATAGAACTCCGCCGATTTTTAGGCATGACCGGTTATCACCGTTGTTTCTGCTTTAACTTTTCCGCTGTTGCCAAACCACTTACAGACATGTTGAGCAACAACATCCCATTTTCTTGGACCTCTGAATGTAACCAGGCTTTCCTTGCTCTGCGTGACCTACTCTGTTGTGCTCCAGTTCTTGCAGCCCCTGACCTTTCCCGACCTTTTAAACTCGAAGTCGATGCCTCTGATGCCGGAGCAGGAGCTGTGCTACTCCAAGAAGAAACCGTTGGACTTGAACACCCCATCTGCTACTTCTCTAGGAAGTTTAACCTGGCACAACAACATTATTCCACCATTGAGAAGGAGACCTTAGCTCTAACATGGTCCCTGCAACATTTCTGTGTCTATGTTGGAGACAGTCGATTCACAACCATTGTCTTTACAGATCATAATCCGCTGACCTTCCTCCACCGCATGTATAACCACAATCAACGTCTGATGCGATGGGCCCTCCTCCTACAGGCGTTCAACTTGGAAATCCGTCACAAGAAGGGGACTGAAAACGTCATGGCAGATGCCCTTTCTCGCAGTTTTCAAAATGAGGCTCCCTTGTAGATACTTTGTTTCGATGGTAGGATCTCGTATGAGGCTAGTGCTGTCTGCTTGCGCAGACATCTTGGGAATAATAACCAACTTCTCCTCCATGTTTGCTCGGAGGTGTACGGAGCATCCTGTCCGCTCATTGGTCAGTGAATGGAACCTCCGTTGATTGGTCCTCGTCCGAGAGACAGCGATGAAAAGTTGAAAATATTTCAACTTTCTGGGATCGCGTCGCTGGGTCGCCGGTGCTCGACACGTGCACGAGCGCAAAATTTCACACGCACGTTTTTCGCGTTTCTCTTGGTAGGAGGGAGACCCGCGATTATCGCTTTGTCGCGCATGTCTCATTGAAAATGGATGGAGGAGAGGCGATGTCGCCTCCCGGGTGTCGAGGCCAGAATGCCTCTTTTATCAATCTGCCCGCCGACTGCAATAAACGTCTAAACTGTCATCGTTTATGTTGAGGTTTATTCATACCCATCATATATATTCTACTGTTCATCTGCTGAAACGTGCATGTGTGAATTTGAATATCTGTAACATTCAGCTCCAGTGAGTGATGAAAATGTAACTAAATCAGGATTGAGCTGCTTTTTACCAGAGGCCCAGTGAACATCTCTAAGTAATTATTTTCTTATCTAACCTGGATCCCAGGTGTTATCCTCTACGTGTGCTGGGCTGGCTAAAGGCCATGCGTAGAAGCTGAAACGCAGTGTTCAAAGAGAAGTTCAGCTCATTACTTCCCCAACTAGAAGTTCCTCTTTCTCCAACAATCACCATCTAGTTCCTCTCTGATTTACTGGCAAGAAAGGGAAGAAAGCAAAACCAAAGTCATGCCACAGAGATCTGGATGAAGGGAGATGACTGGTCGACCTGATCTAAAGCAGCAAAGGAGGCCTTTAAAGGCACTTCAGGGTGAAAGAGTGATCTCACACATGAAGAGGCAGCTAATAAAACCAAGACAATGGTGCAATTTTAGGGTTAGACCGGACTTGGCATCAGATCCCAGAAACGTGCAGTGATATAACTCGTCTTGCTGCACGATGCACCAACAGCTGTTGGTTTTGTTTGGTCCCGTCTAAATGGGTGCTTTATGGCTGTTCTGGGCAGCTTGACCACCACAGACAGTCCTGCAGGAACCCTCGGGGCTGGAAACCTAGGATAACAGTGTGGTTGAATCATGTCAACAATATCATTGATGTTCTAATGGAAGGGCACAAATAACAGGAGGAGAATAAATACTTACTCATACTCTCTGTCTCTACATCATAGAAAAGCAGGCTGAATTATTCCTTTCCTGATTGGCTGTTAAATACTGCCACTGTGGGTGTTACGTCCTGCTGTGTTGGGCCACATCTGGACAGCTGACTCGTCCAGCCACGCTCAGTCAGCTGCTTTAACTGCACTCCAAATTGTAAATGGTTTCTATAACAAACAAGCATGGACGTAATTCTCACTTTAGAAGTGGGGGGGACGGGGGGGACGGGGGGGGGGGTCTTTACAGTATGTTCTAATGGGAAACAGGCTTCAACACAAACAGTTGTTTTCTGCTTGGTCCTAGAGCTCAACCAGTGTCAATTTAATATAGCGTAATATTGGTTTTGGATGGTAAAAAGTGCAGGGGTCAAAACTTGACTTTAGAAAAAGTGGGGGGGACATGTCCCCCCTGTCCCCCCCCCCAAAAAAAATTACGTCCATGCAAACAAGCATGGGTGGGTTTGGCATTTCAAACAACACACAACTCCCCACAACACGGATCTGACGTAGCTAGACTGGGTATGAGTTTAGAATGTTGACTGACAGCATTAATATTAGAACCAGCGTTTAACTTCAAAGTCTACGAGGTTTCCACAGTCTGTGGATGTCAAGAGCAGTTTGGAAGTGGATCCAAAAGGAGGCTGGCTAGCAGGCCAGAGGATTCATCAGAACCAGCGACCAGAAGGTAAATGCACAGTTAAACTATCCATTAGGATCCCAAGAGACAAAGCTGGGGGTGGGTTTCAGGTCCATCCACCACCCAGGAAGCTTAATGCCTGATCAGGATAGAAGTCAGTTGTATCTTTATTTTGTCTTGATAATAATAATAATAATAATAATAATAATAATAATAATAATAATAATAATAATAATAATAATAATAATAATAAGGGGGGGGGGGGGGGGTCTCGGTAAAAAGTGATCCGGAGGTATTCCCGACACGGACCTCTAGATGCAACCTGGCGGAACCGAACGGACTTGGATCAGGATGATTTCACTCACCGGCATCATGCTGGCAGCTTCCATCGCATCCAGACCCAGATGGTTTCCAGATGTTCACCTCCCGCTCTGACCTGTTGCTGTCTCAGCGAGCCGGGGGGGGGGGGGGGGGGGGGGGGCACCAGAATATTTCTCGTTTTGGGAAAAAGAAACTGAAATGAAAGGAGAAGTCAGACTAAAGCACAACAGCTGAGAAGGTCCAGCGCGCTGCTGACGGATGACGCCTGAGCTGGGTCCCTGCTGGGCTCTAAATCCTGCTGAAGGTGCGCACAGCCGGCTGGGAGCATCACCGATTGAGCTGAGCGGTATGACATCACTTCCTGTTCTCGCGAGCGATCACGCCCCTTTTCAAGAAAAAGAAACCCTCAGAATGAACGGAAACATAATGATGGGTTGTACATTTTACACACCAGCTCTGTGATTCCTGATGTGACCGACAGTGGCGGTTCCACACGGGGTGCGCTGGGGCTCTGCTCTCTCATGTCTCACCCTACCGAAGGCAGAAATTTAACCCCACCGCATCTTCACAGTGCCTGAAATGCAAAACTGAGGTTGACACTCTTACGCACTGTTTTTGGTTCTGTATTAAGGTGAAGCAATTCTGGAGGGGAAATGAACAAAATTTTGTTTGCGAACTTAAACAATAATCCCTTATTTCTGTTGTTGGGAGTGGTCGATCCGGTTGTCAGTGGTAAATATGAAACGAGACTCTACAGCATTTTGACTTTCTGTGCCAGAAAGTGTCTTCTCCTGAACTGGGTAACAGACAAGATCCCCTCCAAAGCACAGTGGCAGAGGGTTGTGCTCAGTTATGCTTCTCTTGAATGTCTAACATGTCGACTGCACTGCAGGGATGAAGCCTTCGCCAGGACGTGGACACGATTTTTACTGTACATTGGACTGGATGTCTCTGCATTCTTTGCTAGAGCTTTGGTGTAGGGACACCGTTGTGCGAACTGACACCTGAATCTGAACTTGTATATATGCGAGTGTTACGAACCCTGAGTTCCCCGGCTCTCAGTTTCTACACTGCACCGTTTCCAGGACCACGGAGAGCGCCCGGCTCCCTGGCTTCACTCACGCAGCTGACGCTCATCAGAAATCACCCAGCTGGAGCGGATAAAGATCAGCGCTGCTCAGAGAAGAGAGGGCACAGCGAGCGGAGACAGACGGACGCACAGAGAGGGAAGGGAGGGAAGGGAGAAAGCAGAGCGAGAGGAGAACGCACAGAGAGAGGACGCACTGAGAGGAGAGGATTACAGAGAGACTTGTGATTGAGAACTTTTGGGAACTGTAGTTGCCCCCGGATGGTTAATTTCCACCTGCTTGGGAAAACTTTCAGGCTGATGTTCGTTTTCCTTTTGCTCTTAACAGAGCTGACAGTTGTGTGGGTGAGTTAGTCACCAGTGGACTTTTGGTAAGGCCTCCGGGCAAGTTTCTGTTCCTGATTTCACTTTTGGAACCAGTGAGTTTTAGTTCTCATTTAATCTCTCTATTAAGTCACTTAGTCCTCGGTTTTGTCTCCTGCATCTTAAGTTAAACCCCCATTTTTAATTAAACAGGTTTTCTCCCGTTGGGACGCTTTTAGTTAATAAAAGGACTTTCTTTGGTTGTGACTTGGTGTCAGATCGTTTCCTTTTATTTCTCACATTTCTGTGTTAGACCTCCCAGGCTCCAAGACCAGGTTGGGGTCGTAACAGCGAGGAAAGGAGCCAATAGTTTATTGTTTGAATGCTGATAAGCAAACTATTGTTTTCCTGTTTCTTCTTCTTCTTCTTCTTCTTCTTCTCCCTCTTCTTCTTCTTATTCTGCTTCCGTACACTTTTTGAACCTCTTCTCCTTCAAATTTTGAGCTATTTCAACAATTTCATATCAAACGTTCAGCTCATTAAGCTCTTTCCGGCTATTACTTTTGGCATTGATATCTTTCAAATTTTTCGATTTATTAAGCATTTTCTGCTCATTGAAATGAATGGGATTGGTCAATTTTCAGCAAATTCCTATCACTGTTTTTTTTACCTAAAACTCTATTGGGTTCCTTTTAACTTAGAGACTTCATTCAAAGTTTAACAAACTCACAAGACTTTCCTGTTTAACATATTAAAGAGGCTTTTTGATATATTTTACGGTTTTTCTAAAATCGCAGGTAGAAGTTGAGGTACGACTTTAAATTTTCAGAAAAATTCACAAAAGTTATAATGGGGAAAGATAGGAGCGGTGACCCTCCCTTGCTCCATTTCTGGCAATGTCCCGAGAGAACCGTAGGTCCGATTTAAATGTGACACACGCTGACTTACAGCTAACAAATATACCTTCGTTTTGAGCTATAATTCATGACTGTAATACAAACATTGTGGTCGTACGGTTCATTTGTTTGAGAAAATTCAAATTAAAAAAATGTCTCTCTTCACTCTAAACTTAAAATTCCGCACTCTAACTTTTGAACTTCACATCTTCTGTGAACAACTCTTTACTACCCCCAGAACGTTTGGACTACCAAAACAAATTATAACTCAAAAAGTAGGAATTTTTATCAGCTTTTCAGAATGGGTTTCATTTTATCTGTGAGTGTTACCGTTCTTTCGCTACAAGCCTCAGAAAGAGGAGAGACCCAGCTTTTCCCTCATTGAAACCCATGTTAAAGGAACAGAGATTTTCTCCTCTGATCAGCTTCAGACAGCTAAAATGTTCTCATCATAGCTTGTAGACAATTCATGGTAGGCAGATAAAAATTCACACAGACGACCATCAAAGCCTTCCGCCACTCACGCTTTTTGAATTTTTCAAATCTGTGCAGTATTTTTCGAAGGGTGATGAGAAATTTGACAGGTCCAATTTCACTTCTGAAGGACAGATTTAAAGGCTTCTCTCATTAATCCAATCCAATTTTATTTATATAGCACATTTAAAAACAGCATGTCAGCTGACCAAAGCACTGCACAGAGTTAAACCTAAAAATGAAATGAAAATGCGAGTTTTTGGATGCGTGAATGAATATCAGAAGGTTTCTTTCAGCGAGAGAAGCATTTCTGGGTGAAAAGTTGGTTTTGCAGCTAACTGAGTCATTTCTTAGGAAGAACAGCATCAGACACCATCTGTGTGCTACCTCACCCAGCAAGACCACCCTCTGTGTGGATCTGGAGGTCAAGGAGGATGTTGTAAACCTCAGGGGTACTCGGTCCGGTAGAGAAGACCCAAGTAGAACCGATCCTCTGGTCCAGAGATGTCGCAGGGTACACGGTGTCGAGCGTCTGGCTTAACTCTGAAGGAGTTTTGCGTCAGCTGTTTACAGTTGTGTTTATTCGAAGCAAGACTATCGGCATGACAGAATGCTTAGTAGAGATTCGGGGGCCGTCCCTCCTCTCCTGGTATGGTTCAAGAACAGAACTTTTTGCTGCGGGATTTGGTTTTAACAAAACCCTCAGAACACGCCCTCTCAGCGTCAGAAAGCTTGGTCATGAAGTAAAGATGTGTGATGGTTTACCCGTTACCCTGGATCCTGTTTCTACTCGGGTCGAAAGAATCCACGCTTCGTACTGATGTCCACAATTATTTTATTTCTCTCTGACAATCATGGAGCACCGTGAAAACTAGAAACAAGTAAATTAATATCAATAACATATATGATATTCATCTCAGCCACTTATTTCTTTTCACAAAGTGCACAAGTGTTAAACGAAGAACAGTATAACGTTTTTTACCGTGTACGCCTTGTAAAACCCAGCAGTAGAAAAGATGTATGTTCCAAAAGTCCGCCGTGTTACCGCACCGTGTCGTCTCTCCCGCGACTCACAGGAAGCGACTACCTCACAACAATCTCAACAGAAACATTTCTTATAAGAAAGACGTATAACTCCACTGCACAGATACACAATATGAGTACCAAATAAAGAAAACAAAACAGAGACAACGTACCGATCTCCGATGCGCTGCTGGTGTTGTCATGGCAACCAACACAAACATTCCAACGTCAGTTACACTCCCACCAATTACCTTTGATTATTACAATTGCGAATGTAAATACACTTGTATTGTTCATTAAATCAATGGTAATTCCCAAGCACCATGTTGTTATGTTAAAACACTCTTGCATTGACATAAACAATATTCTTTTCTCAAACAATTAATTCAACAGTATGAACAGAATTTACATCTCCACAACATGTGCATGAAGTACAGCATAATGACAACGTGTATTTTAGAAGGGAAATCTAATCAATGAATGACATATTTTTCTCATTTTCTACCAGGACCACTAATTTCTGAATGGGTCTTTGAATGACGGATGGTTGGACGAGGCGTTCGCCTCTCTTTCCTAATTTCCGATCACCAGTCTGGATTGTCACCTTCCGTACAAGTCCATCATCATCCTCATGTGCTTCCACAACCCTAGTTAGTTTCCATTCATTGCGAGGAACATCTTCTTCTTTGAGAATCACAATGTCACCCACCTCCACATTACGTCTTGGTGCATGCCATTGCTGTCTCAGAGCAATATTGGCCAGGTATTCCTTTCTCCATCTGTGCCAAAATTGCTCAGTCAGATATTGGACCCTTCTCCACCATTTCTTAGCATACAGGTCCTCCTTTAATGTGCTGCTCACAGATGCCGAGGTTACTGCTGCAGTTAACTCTAGTCTCGGTATGGTGACTATTTTGGTTGGTGCAACCCTCGCCTTGCCCATGATCAAGGAGCAGCATACCCTTTCTCTGCTTACTACTCTGATGTAAGAGCACTGGCCATACCCTTGACTGCTTGCATCAGAGAAATGATGAAGCTCGGCTCTGAATCTCACCAAGGCTGTCAGGTATGAAGCATCTTTGAATTTCAATTCTTTCCAGGTTCTCCAAATCCTTCATCCAAGTCTCCCACCTTAACTTCAAGTCTTTGGGTAGTGGCTCATCCCACCCTGTGCCTCTCTGACACATCTCTTGCAGCACTCTTTTCTCTTCAAGAATGACTGGGGCTAGAAACCCCAAAGGGTCATACAAGTAGGCCACAATTGAGAGGATCCCTCGGCGCGTTGCCAGTTTCTCCTCAAGTGACACCTTGAAGGAGAAGCTATCATTTTCAATGTTCCACCTTATACCTAGTACTCTTTGAACTGGCAAGTCATTGTGATTAAGATCAACATTCTTCACCTCCGTAGCACGCGCTGCAACCTCCACTGAGTCAAGGACCTCTCGACTGTTGAAGAGAAATTTGTGAAGGTGCAGCTTTCCTTTGGCACACACAGCTTGGGCATCTTTGACCAGTTCAATTGCCTCACCCACCGACTTTACACTTATGAGACCATCGTCGACATAGAAATGTTTCTGGATGAAGCTAGCTGCGGAGGGGTACTCTTTCTCACATTGGCTGGCAAGGTGTTTCATGCCATAATTGGCACAGCCAGGGGAGGATGATGCTCCAAACAGGTGAACCTTCATGCGGTACTCTCTGGGTTCTGAGTTTGTGTCTCCATTTTCCCACCAGAGAAATCGCAGGTAGTCTCTATCATCCTCGCTCACATGAAACCTGTGGAACATTTTCTCCACATCACACATGACTGCGATGGGATATTTACGGAAGCGGCACAGCACAGCTGTTAGGCTATTTGTGAGGTCAGGTCCTGTTAGCAGATGGTCGTTTAAGGAGGTGCCTTCATACCTTGCAGAGCAGTCGAAAACCACTCTGATTTTGCCTGGTTTTCTGGGGTGGTAAGCTCCTTGATGTGGGATATACCACACTTTCCCCAGCTCTGCTTGGTTTTCCACTTTCTCTGCATCTCCATCCTTGAAGACACCTTCCATAAATCTCACGTAGTCTATTTTGAATTTGGGATCTCTGTCCAGCTTCCTCTTTAGATGCTTCAACCGTACTAATGCCAGCCTTTTGTTGTCTGGGAGATGTGGACGTGCTTTGAAAGGGAGAGGCATCTCCAGGTGACCCTCCTTATTTTGTTGGATCCTCTCTTTCAAGATCTGCAGGAAGCATATATCTTCTTGAGATATGCTTCTGTCACCAGATTTTGTGTCTGCAAAATCGGACTCTAGGGCCTTGATGACAGCAAATGGCGTTATGGGTGGCATCTCTCTGACAGACACTCGATGGCAAAAACCAGTCACATCTTTAGCTTGCACACGCTGTGGTGCGCTTCCCACAATGCTCCAACCAAGGTCCGTCTCAATAGCATAAGGCTCATAGTCGCCCCCAGTGATGACCCTTCTTGGAATTAACGCTCTGGAGCAGTCATATCCAATCAACAATCCAACACCACAGTCCATCAACGGGGGTATCTCTTGGGCCATGCTTACAAGGTGTTTCCATTTGTTGGCTGTCTGACAAGTGGGAATATGTGCACGGTCAAGAGGAATGAAGTCCCTTGTGTAGGCTGGAGGCAAATTGATGGAAACGTTAGAGGAAAATCCTCTAACTTTGAGCTTGCATACTCTTTGACTCTTCACGACTGAGTCTCTCCCCATCATGGTGGAAAGTTTAAGTTTCACTGGTTCCATTGCTGCTTTTAGCTTTTCGCACACCTCCTGATCAACAAATGTGTGACTGCTTTGAGTGTCCAATAGTGCATACACTAGGGTTTCAGTGTCCGGAGCACTAAGTGTTGAGATCCACACTGGGACTATCATCGACGTACTCCCACCTTCACCTCCACTCACACAACATGATAAAGATGACGTGCTTTCTTCCACTGCACCCTGAATTGATGATTCTCCTGCTGTAGAACGATCTTCATGCAATGGCGTTGGGTGACTCTTTTTGCATATGCTACATGTGGACCTGTTTCTACAGTCTTTAGAATTGTGACCCTTTCTTAGACATGCAAAACACAACTTATTTTCAAGTATGCATTTTTTCTTATCCTCTACAGGCATGTCCATAAGCCTCTTGCATTTATGTATGGAATGGTTCTCACTACAGCAAATACACTGGTCACTATTGTAATTTTGTGTTGGTGTGTTCCATTTCTTTGGTTTCTCTGCATCTCCCAACTTGATTTGACCAGGGTCAGATTTGGTGGTGGAGCTTGATGGAATTGAAGGTTTCACATTTGTGGCAAACGTGTTTGCTTTTGAACGCTTCATTTCTCTTGGTGGTGCCTCTGCAGAGTGCCTTAAGGCATGTAAGGATGACACTGGATTGCATGCTATGCGTGACTCCTTAGAGACAAAGGAAGCAAACTCATGAAAGCTTGGATAGTCGTTGCCCCGATCTAGCTGCTCTGTAACGTAACGGTTCCATCTACATGTCACCCAATCAGGAAGCTTGACTAATATTTTCTGATTCTCCTCGCAGTCGTTAAGAGCCTGTAAGCCCTTTATGTGGGGCATTGCATTACTACATGTTTGGAGGAAATCACTGAACTCTCTTAGCTTGAGATATTCCTTTCCTCCAATCTTCGGCCACCCATTTAACTTCTCTCTGAAAGCCCGCTGTACTACAAAGGAATGGCCATATCTAGCATTTAACCTATCCCATGCCTGTTGATAGGCTTCTTCATCTTTTCTGTAGAAGCTGCCTTCAAGAGAAGATTTTGCCTCGCCTGCTATGTACTTTTGCAGGTAGAATAGCCTGTCTGCAGGGTCAGAGCATCGTCTCTCTATGAGGGCTTTGAAGCTCATGCTCCATTCTGTAAACTTCAGAGGATCACCCGAGAATACAGAAGGTTCTGGAGTTGGCAAGCGGGTGAGAGCTAATGACTCTTGTAGCGATTTGACCAATGATGTCTCGTTTTGCACAACCTGCCGTTCTTGATCTGGGATGTGGTGAGCGAAGGGGTGTGCATCACTCACTTTGCTGAATGGAGGACTGCGTGTCCCATCCCTTTCCTCTTCTTCAGTGTAGACCTTTAGCCTTGCCTGAATTACATCAATGTCCCTCTGGTTTTCCAGTTTTCTCAACTGCTGACGTTGAGCTTCGATGGCAGCTTCCATATCAACTTCAGCTCTCTTTGCAGCCAGCTGAGCAGCCGCTTCCGCCCTCATAGCCGAAATGCTAGGTGACTCTGAGAGATGTTTAGAATTGTGACAGCTGGGTGCAGTAACTCTGGAAGCTGTGGATCCATATATGGACCTAGCATATTCATTATCAAGTAGCATGCGTAACCTTGATCTTTCTGCCACTGTGTCAAACTCATCTTCATCTTCAGTGAGACGTACTCTCATCAGCTGCAGCAAGTCGGCTGTCACAGCTGAGCATGCATCAATCTTTCTTCGAATTTCTTGACTTGGTGAGGTTTGGAGTCGAATTCTGTCATACTGTTCCTTTAATTCAGACTCTTGCTTCTCAGCCTCATCCATCATATTATACATGTCACTCTCAGAGCATACTTGCTTTAACCTTGTGCGAATGTCTCTTACGTTGCTTCTCCACTTCTCATATGTTGCTTTGAACCTCTTCTCCTTTTGAGTTAACTCTTGATCTTTCAGTTCCTGCATTTTTGGTGTTAATCGCCTTTCACGAGAGGATTTTCTTGTTTTTGTCTCAGATTTCTCAGACACTACACTTCTTTCCTCTTTCATATCCCCTGCATCTTGGACTTTTGACATAACATTAGGATGACTATGGTCATCTTTAGACATTTTCAGACTTTAAAAGGGGTATCTTATGAAGGGACAAGATATCTAAGGTAATTACAAGAATGGAATGGATGCAATAGGTGGAGAATTATTAAAATTAACACAAGGCACCTTAGCTTAGTTTCTTACATATGACAGTAAATAAACTTCAGTTTCAGCCTTCTTAAAGCTTGCAAACAATAAGTAAGAAAACAACAATAAGTTCCAGGACTTGAACAGATTGTCCTTTTTTTTCTTTTTCTTTTTTTGTTACACAGTCTGAAGTTTGAACACAATTAATTTCTTGTCCATTATAGCAAATTTGTAGCTCATGTTCTATCCATCAACACAGGAGGCATAACAGCTGCGTAATATAGCCTGATGACTCACGCTTCTTGAAACCGCTTCTTGAAGTGTCCACTGAATATGCAGCTCCTGATTGGTTGCTCCAAAATGCAAAGCAACGTGTCCACTGAAGCCTGTAGCTCACTGTAGCTTGCTGCAGGATGACGAGAGCTCTGCACACCGAAGCCTCCAAATGGATTGGGCCAACGTTTTCACTGTTTCTACTCGGGTCGAAAGAATCCACGCTTCGTACTGATGTCCACAATTATTTTATTTCTCTCTGACAATCATGGAGCACCGTGAAAACTAGAAACAAGTAAATTAATATCAATAACATATATGATATTCATCTCAGCCACTTATTTCTTTTCACAAAGTGCACAAGTGTTAAACGAAGAACAGTATAACGTTTTTTACCGTGTACGCCTTGTAAAACCCAGCAGTAGAAAAGATGTATGTTCCAAAAGTCCGCCGTGTTACCGCACCGTGTCGTCTCTCCCGCGACTCACAGGAAGCGACTACCTCACAACAATCTCAACAGAAACATTTCTTATAAGAAAGACGTATAACTCCACTGCACAGATACACAATATGAGTACCAAATAAAGAAAACAAAACAGAGACAACGTACCGATCTCCGATGCGCTGCTGGTGTTGTCATGGCAACCAACACAAACATTCCAACGTCAGTTACAGATCCCTTTGAATGAGGTGGCTGCGTGCAAGATGACCTTCTGGTTTACTGAACACACATTAGGATTATCAACAATAATTAATAATATACCCAAAGCATAATAAGCCATTTCAGTAATAAAAATACATTATACTGAATCGAGATTATTTATGATGGTTGTAATAACAGAAATAAAGTCAAGAGTTTATTAAAATTATTATTTAAAATTATTATTGTGAAACTTGGAAGTGTCTATCTTGGGACGGAACAGCAGCAGATAAAGATGGTTTCAGCAGACATTGCGGCTCCTGGTGGGCTAATCTGTGGGCAAGGTTACAGAACGACCCAGCTTGACCCAGCTGGGAAAATGTGACCTTTGTCACAAATTAGAGGCCATTCATGACGCTACATTAGCAACAACATTTAACAATATTTTAGACACAGGCCTGGAGGCTCAGGGTGTCGGGGTGGCCGGCCCCGTGTGGGGATCTGGGCGGATCCTTGGGGGTCGGGTCCTGACATGTATGCTGCTGGGAAGAAGGCAGGAACATGCAGCAGTGCCTGGCCCGGGTTCAGGGGCCTCGGGTAGACCGTGGCTCCTCTGCTGTCCCATCACAGGGGAGGGGGAGGTCCAGGAGGGGGAGGACCCAACCTTACCTGGGTGTCCTATGTCTTATATATCTGGAAGTTGTGCAAATGCAGGGATGGGCATTGATATTCTGCTGAGGTGGGGCTGGGTTGGTGCCCTGTCTAATTGCACCAGTCTGTCTTGGTGTTCCACAGGTTCTGGACTAAATTATTTTTGTTTCAATCTCTATGTTCTTCTGCTTTAACATAATCAGAAATCACAATAGCAGATTCTGTTGTTATGTGGGCAACTCCCAGTTCTTATGTTTTCTAATTTTAGCATTGCTAAATGCTACATCTAAATCAAATTTTAAAATGTAAAGGTTACATTTTAATCTGGATAATAAAATCTCCCAACCAACAGACTTACTTAATTTTGTATGAGAAAGCCATCTAGTGTAAATTTTAAATGATAGATATTCTCTTTTAGAAAATGCAGTAAGTACATGTAAATCTGAGAAATGTCTGCTACAGCTTTTGTGTCAATTATAAAGTAGCTGAGTAGTAAAACCAGCCATCTGTTTCTCTGGCGCTGAAACGGCACTAATTTGCTTCTTATTTAATGTTCAGCAGTCAGCCTGTGTCTCTTTGAAGTAGAACCTCTCAGGCATAATATGTTCACTGCTTTATTCCAGAGCATATTTCCATTTTATTCTGAAATTGTCAATTTCTAGAATTGCAATAAAGTTTTGGATAATAAAAAACATTCCGGGCGAGTGCCGCTTAAACCACAGAAGAAGAAGAAGAAGAAGAAGAAGAAGACCGTCATGGCCGCAGACAAATAACACCTTGGTTGTAATGGAGTTCGTGGACTAAATCCATCAGAACGAGGGAACAACTTCAGGTAGAGTAAGTTTTATTAGTGAGCGTTAATGAAGTCGCGTGGGCTGGCAGGCTCCGACCCATCAGGGCCAAGAGCGGCTCCATGTTTCAGTACTTCTTGTGACGTGTTAGCATGAAGCTCAGCTACCATGGTTGATCCTTGGAGTTATTGACGGACTGATTACCTTATTCAGGCAGACTGAGTCTTTTTTTGTGTTTTTATCTGACATCGTTTAGCTTTTCCTTTTATTCAAAGCATATACTAGTAGTTGGGATTATCCTACACCTGTTAGCTTAGCTTCAGTCTGCAGGGATCAGCTAGCAGGCTAAGAACGAAGCAAAAGTTGGTTTCCATTTTTAGTTCTGATTAAAAAGAGCAATTCCGACTACTCTTACTCTCCACGAGCATCTTAAATCTGATCTAATTATAAAACTACAAAGTTTATACTCTTTAAACCTGGAATAGATTATTCTACACTAGTAGCAGAATCCTCAAACAGTTTATGTATGAAACTTTCATTTGTTTTTTCAAAACTTGCTAGATAAAAATTACAAGGTCCTTCACAATCATAACAAAAATAACTAATAGCCAGATAAGATTAAAAGATAAAAACTAAAAAAGAAAGGCGCTAAAAAAGAAAAACACAGAACTGACATAAACCTCACCATGAAGAGAAGCTAGTGAGGAAGGAGGATACATGGGTGGTCACACCTAAGCCTGAACAGGCGAGGCTTCAGCTGCTTTTTAAAGGAGACCACTGAGTCCACCGATCTCAGGCTCAGGGGGAGAGCAGCAGATGATCTGTCACCTTTGGTCTTTAGCCTGGTGCTGCACAACCAGTAGGCTTTGATCACTGGACCTCAGGGACCTGCTGGGGGTGTAGGGACTGAGAAGATCACCAATGTAAGATGTTTTGGATCATGTAATTCTAACATTACTAAAAAATGGATATTACAACTCGAGTTTAGGGCTTCTTGTTTAGGACTTAAAGTTATTAAATATGCTTATATTAGAGCAGTGTGTTGCATTACTACATCAAATGTATGGCTATAGTATATTATATTAATGTATGTGGTCTAAATGTGTTCTACAGTGTGTTAGGACTGTCGTGTTCCTGTAATGTAGAACAGTCACGGGTGTCTGTCTTCCTACAAATGCCCAGAAAAATATAAATAGGCTACTTTGTGAAGGAGTTAGGACATAATATATAATATTATTCAATAATTACCACAAATCGCCAGGGGAAATGTGATTATATAAAATGTTTGTGATTTGTCCCACCGTACGCCATTCAAACTGACTTACGGTGTTACAAAACAAGAAATACAAGTACGAATTGAGAATTACAAGTTAGAAAACTAAAGTTACAAGTAACAAATCCAAAGTTACATGTGATGAAACATGTTCGAAGTTACAAAACTTGGTACAAGTTACGCTGAATATTGTCCCAATCCTAGCTCCATAGAAAATCCTGACAGATCTACGTCACACTGTCACTTAACATTCATGGACTCACCCATCTTTACTCACGACGGGGAAGGCTGTTGTAGGTTTAGCGTTCAGGAAACAGCAGAGAACATCTCACCTAGCAAAAGCTAACCGTTAGCATTAGCAACTCCACCACACAGCAGAACTCCTCCAGGCGTGTGTTATTTGTGGAGATAAAACGCCGACGTTGCAGATCTTTACTAGAGTGAATTTTTCTAAGCAAAATGTCTGAAAAGGAACGAGAGATGTTTTTAAGGCGTTCAAAGCCTTTCATGCCTTTTATCAATAATTCATAGAATGTGTGTGTGTGATTATATGTTAATAGAGATGTGATATCAGTTCATGTAAAATAATTGTGATAATCATGAAACCGTGACTATTTCTCAGACTCTAATCGTACCACCAACATTTATAATCGTTGCAACTCTAGTTGCAGTGTTGGTATTGTAGCTTAAGAACTGGACCAACTGCATAAATAACTGGCTTTCTGTTGGAGTTTAGAATAATTGAGTCCAGGTTTTAACAGTCTGGATCAGGACTTTCAATTCTGGGCCAAGTTTTACTGGTTTCTCTGGTCCAACACACTAGATTCAGTGGTTTTATCACCTGTGCAGCAGATCATCAGGCTCTGCAGAAGCCTGTTGATCACCTGCTGATTGAACTCTGGTGTGTTGAAGCAGGTTAAAACTAACTGGATACCGGCCCTCCAGGCCCGGAATGGAATATCCCTGATCTAGAGGTTGTTTTGGACCCAGTGCTGATGAAAAATGCTAACTTCAGCTTCATCAGTCTAAGTAGTTCTTCGTTCGGCTCAGACGAAGCTGCTAAATCAACACGTTAAGCAGGAATGTTTGTTGGATCTCTGTTTTTCATAGTGTCTTATTTGTGAAACTGATTTATGCGCTTTAGTCACCAACTCGTCCATCAGTGGTCTACAGCTACTGGAAGCACAACACTGAAGATGAAGAGCAAAGAAAAGCAGAGACACAAGCTGATGGTCTATGAGAAGACATCAGTGGTGAGCAGCAGCGATGAAGACTCTCACACGGAGAACCTGGCTCTGCTCGCCAGGAGAGAAGAGGCTAGCTTACAGACAAGTGAGCTCCACCACAGAGGAAAGGAGTACGAAGGCAGTGATGAAGAGGAGGAAGGTGAAGAGGCATCAGATGATGATGACTCTACTGATGTAGAAGAAGAGGGTAAAGGCAGTGAATCGTCTGGGGAGAACGAGACTGAAGAGGATGATGATGATGATGATGATGATGTCGGTGGTAGCAGTGGGACCCAAACTAAAGAAGAAATCAGAACAGGTGATGATGCTCCTGGTGTAATTATTACTTCCTGTGCCTGAAGATCTGTTTATGAATGGAAAACTTGATTCAGTGTGTTAAACAAAATTAGATTCAGTGTCTGGGGGGGTTCAAACGATGAAAACAAAATGAAGGACAAGGATGGGGGGTGAAGAGACTCGGTTCCACTCGGCTCAAAAGCACAAGAGGAGCCTGAGCTGCTGGGGAGGTTGGCTGGTGGCTAACCTAACAGCTGCTGCTCAGCCTCCTGTAAGCGCTGCTGCCTGTACTGGTCTCTGAATCAGAAGGGTTTGATTTCCGTTTCTCAACGTAAGGAACTCGCTAACTGCTGCAAAAACAAAGAATAAGAGATGAGCAGACCAAGGACTGTTGAATCATAAACCGCTGCGATTGTAGCCAGGCGTCGTGGCTCTTTACATCAGCTCATGCTCCACGGTCGGAGATCAGCAGGACATCTGCTACATGCTAACCTTAAGCTAACGGAGTTTTTCTGTGCGTTTTGAGCAAGAAAAACGCGGTAGAGTGACTCCAAAGTGAAGGCGCCTCCGTTCTCAGACATGAAAATCCCTCACCTTTAGACCAAATGTGCTGCTTTGAATTCAAAACGCCTCGCCTACGTGATGTGTGCAGATCTGGGGGAGGGGGTTACAGCAAGGCCGGGTTTTACAGTTTAACCAGTTTCAATATTATCCACTGGGGGAAAAATTCATGAAGATTTTTAAGACGCCACCAACAGTAGAAAATAAATAAATGTATAAATCCATCATAACCGGTGAGGCTTGAGCCGCTCGAGCGCGTCTCGTCTGTGTAGACCTCCAGACGGCTCATCCCCGCTTGTATGATCCAAGCCTAAACGGAGTAAGCCCGGCAGGCTGGATCAGACTTGGGTCGATTAATAATTTGACCATGATGAGTCGCACTAGGACAGCAGAGAGCGGAGACAAGGACGCACCTCCAATGAAACTTAGTGGAAGCGTCATCTTTCATCCATGGTGGTAAAGAAACGCTAAAATGTAGGCTATGTTGTCTCCGCCGAGCTGGTTTTGGGCTTTAAGTCTGTCAGGTCAGGGAGGACGTGTGTTTCTTAAAGTCCACAACAACGACTTCCACTGTCTTCTGGGTGTTCAGCACCAGGTTGTTGTGGCTGCACCAGGACACCAGCCGTTCCACCTCCATTCTGTAGGCAGACTCATCCCTGTCAGAGATGAGTCTGACGGTGGTGTCATCTGCAAACTCGATAAGCTTGACAGACTCGTGGTTGGAGGTGTAGCTGTTGGTGTACAGGGAGAAGAGCAGAGGGGAGAGGACACAGCCCTGAGTGGAACCGGTGCTGATGGTCAGAGACTTTTTCCCCAGCCTCACTTGTTGCTCCCTGTCTGTCAGGAAGTCAGTGATCCACCTGCAGATGGGGTCAGGTACGTTTATCTCGGACCGTTTGTCTTGGAGGAGGTCTGGGAGGATTGTGTTGAAGGAGGGGCTGAAGTCCACGCACAGGATCCTGGCGGAGGAACTCAGGGAGTCCAGATGCTGCAGGATGAAGTGTAGAGCCATGCTAATGGCATCATCTACAGACCTGATGGCTCTGTAGGCAAACTGCAGAGGGTCCAGGAGAGGGGCTGTGAGGGTCTTGAGGTGGGGGAGAACCTGGGCCCTCATTTATCAACTGTACTTACGGACAGATCTGTGTGTATTTTGTGCGTAGGCACTAATTTACACATTGTGTGGTATTTACCCATTTGTACCTGTGCATGAAAATGTTCCTAAATATGAGAACAGCTCTGACCGTGCGTAGGAACAGCATCTAGTGGTAGAACAGGGGAACGGGGGGGGGGGTCCCTCACATGCTGAGGATGTAGCATGACCAAATATGGTTAATTAAGGGCGCACTGTTTCCCATCTGGGCTGTTTGGTTGTGGTTTTAGTCGTGTTTGGAGAATGTGGACAGTTGTAGATGTTTGGGACGCGAAAAAGCAGAGGCCCTCAATTGGGGGGTGTTAGGGTTAAACAGGTTAATTCAACTTAATGATTTTATAGACACTCATAATGTCCTAGAGAAATTTCTGTCTGGTGTTCGGGTGAACCACCGCTCCAAAGAAAAAATCCGCAAAGTCGTGAATCCAAGATAAACGAACCGCGAAGTAGCGAGGGATCACTGTAGCTGCAGCCGTGCTCGGGGAACACAAACCATCACTGACACTTGGGACATGAAACTCCAAAGGCCCCCAAATGGGAGGTGCCAGGGCCCAAAGAAAAAAGCAGGGGCCTCACCACCGCCCGTTTAAAAGCGGCAGGAAAGACCCCGTCTGAAGGGAATAGTTCATCATAGTTAAAACCTCATCTCTAAAAGAATCATAGAAGTGTTTTAAAGACCTTGTGGGAATAAGGTCCAGGACACGTGTGGTGGGCCTCACTGAGCTTCAACCAGGACAAAACTGTCCAGCGTTTCCTCAGGTAGACATCAGGTCTACCGCACCAGGAGAGAGGCAGAGGACACCCTGGACACACATTCGCTTACACCAAAGGACAAATTAGAGTCTCTGGTTAATCTAACGTGTGTTGTTGGTCCGTGGTAGGAAACCGGAAAAAACCCACTCGTGCATGAGAACAGGCTAACTCCATGTAGAAAACCTGCAGCTGGGAATCAAACTGCCGATTTTTATGCTGCAAGGCAACAATGCTTCCAACTGCTCCACCATGCAGCCCTTAACTAGGTGTAAGGTGTGTGTGTGTGTGTGTGTTTGTATGGGTCCCTGTGAGGGACCTGTTGGGGTGTAGCTTCGCCTCTGCTGGAGCTCCCCGAGGTCGTGAACAGGTGAAGGCTGCAGGATGTTGTTGGTCTGACGGTGGGAGCGTTCTAAAGCGGTCAGCTGTATTAGATTATTTACTAGAGTCTAACAACAATAAACAAATGTAATCCACTGCTTCATACTGCGTCCTTGTCCTTGTCCAGAGCTGTCCCACATGTCCTTTGAGGACATCATTATGCTGCAGAATAAAGTGGGAACCAAAGTTTACAATGAGGTCGCTTACGGCAGCAGAAGGAGTGCAGACGTCAGCAAGAAGAAACGACTGAACAAGAACCGGTGAGATCCAGTAACCTTCATGGAAACAAGTCTGCGGTTCTGGTTTCATTGTGCTTCTGGTTTCAGGCCCGTAGAGATCTCAGCCAAGAAACCAGCACCTTTCATCCGCCAAGTTGTTCCCAGTAGAAAACCAGTAAGTGAGAGGCGGCCGTGCTGCATTTGCCTCTACTCGTCTAATCCGTATCGCCAGTTTTAAACCCCGTGTGGGATTTGTGTCGTAGATGAGGAGAGATCCTCGGTTTGACGATCTGTCAGGGGAGTACAAACCAGAAATCTTTGAGAAGACGTACAGGTTCATTAGTGACATCAAGCTGAGGGAGAAGGAGGTGAGTCAAAGGAAAACAAACCCTAAGCCTCTGCTCTGAGGCCACAGATGCACAACCTTAGAGGCTAAAAACACATGTTTGTGCAGATCATCCAGAAGAAGTTGAAGAAAACGAAGAGAGACGGTGAGAAGAGGAAGGAGCTGCAGTTCCTGCTGAAGAGACTGGTGAGGATCACCATGACGTCATCTTTTCTAGCCAGGTTTCTGTCCCACGTGAGTGTAGGGAGAAGCTCGCTGGTCACACCAGCATGGTCCAGGTGGGTCCTTCAGTGGCTTGGTCCAACCTAGACACACACCCCTGCTCCACGTCCGCCCACGTTCACATCTTACCTGTAGCACCAGTTTTCTGAGGATCCTGAGACCCACGTCTCAGAGTTCGGTGAGCTTTCACACCACACGAGGGCTTGATTTGATGAAACCAACTCTGGTGACAGGCTTTGTTGAGACTTGTCCCAGCTCCTCCCACTTCTGTGGCACAGTCCGTGTTACCAAAGCAGTTTATCTCTGTTTTCATTCCTTTGCTGCACATTTCTCAGGTTTCAATGATGGTTGACATGGAGCGCTCTGGAGGTCTTCCCAGAGAAACGGTGTCGTCTCCATCAGGCACACGTTTGACTCTTCATCGAAGGCTCTCATCATGTCCCCCCGGTTCATGCTGCAGCTGTAGGCGTAGACCCACAGTCTGCAGCGCTGTCGGCTTGCTAGGAAGCCCTAAATAAAAGGTGTTTCTCAGTGCCAAGGAACCTCGCCTCGATGTCTTGGCCCCGCCCCGGTTGCCTAGGAGATACGTCATCGGGAGCCACCAAGACGTGTTCCAATGTTCATGTTCTAGCGAGGCGTGTGTTCTCCGTTTGTTAGCCGTTTAGCTAGCTGAGCGAGGATGCACGGGAGGTGTCTTGTAGCCTAGCCTTGGTCAAAAATTACCCAGAATACACCGCGGTATTTTCAAAAGGACGGCGGATCAGAAGCCGGCAGCTACTTCTGGGACAATTTTCAAGTTTAAAAGTAAGTCAGCTAATTTAAAATGTTTTTTAGATCCAAGGAATTTAGCTATGGTTGGTTAGTTGCTTAGTAGTTGCAGCTTCTGTGGCTAGCGGGTAACTCGCTTATATATTTAATTTAATAAACACACATGAATTATGATCGTTATATATTTATATTGAAACGAATGCGTATAAAAACATAGCGTTATCTCCCGTGTCGTGTGGCGTTGCGTGACCGCCGTGGAAGCCGCGGCCATGTGATGCAAGTCTGTTCCATTTAATCGTTTTCTGTGACCAAGGAAGGACCGTGTCCTCGTAAGCAAGGCGCCTCGACGTTGAGAAACACCCCCAGAGTCTCCTCCATCTACAGATGGGTATCATTCTGATTCCAGCCCTAGTGATGTTGAGCCTCGCAGACCTGCAGCTGGTCTCTGTGTGGTCCACCCTGTAGTTCACCTCAGTTCCCACCGGGCCGTTTTCAACCCTAACCCTCACTTTGTGCAGGAGAACCAGGAGCGAGCAAGACTGAGTCAAGAACAGCAGAGAGAGAGAGAGTTGCAGTTCAAGAGGCAGAAGAGGGAGCAGACGCATCACGGAGATCATCCGTTCTTCCTCAAGAAATGTGAGAACAACTTCAGTCTGAACGTCTGTAGCAGAGGCCGACCGATACGGCCTTGTTTGAAGAATTCTGTTGCAGATATCTAAAGCCATTCATTAAGGCTGATGCACACGTTTTAGCAGCACATTGACTGAGACAACTGAACACTCGCTGTGTGCAGTATAAACGAAACAAGTCAGTAAATCTTTTAATATTTATTGAACTTCAAATATAAAACAAACTCAAAACATTAACAACGTGCAAACAGTTTCAGAACAATAGAAAATAGAACAGACTCAAGTTTTTTCTTAAGTGTTTAAAATAAAGAAAATCAAACGTACCCGGAGTAATGGTGCTGGCCGAGGAAGAGTCCTCAAGTAAACCAAAACCCACAAAGTAAAGCACAGTACCGCGTTGTAGTAAAAACATCCAAACTATACGTAAAAAACAGCACCAACTTAAAGGGATGGTTCACTCAGAAGGAAAATTGTGCGTCGTTTTACGCTGGAACCTTGTTTATGCTAAGCTAAAGCTAAACTTCCTGCTTCCAGATCAGAATGACTGAGCTTGTTAGCTGAAATCCTTTTTCTGGGAAATCTAACAGACAACATTTTACGTCTGAGTGGATTAATCCATTAGGTGTAAACAATGAAAAAGGTGACTGATTATTTATTTATTTTTTAATCAACCTTTAAAAAATTCCAGCCGATGGCCAATAAAGAAAAGATGTACAGTCAGGTCCATAAATATTGGGACATGGACACAATGCTAACATTTTTGGCTCTATACACCACAGTGGATATCAAATGAAACGAACAAGATGTGCTTTAACTGCAGACTGTCAGCTTTTATTTGAGGTATTTACATCCAAATCAGGTGAACGGTGTAGGAATTACTACAGTTTCATATGTGCCTCCCACTTGTTAGGGGACCAAAAGTAATGGGACAGAATATGAACCATAAATAAAACTTATACTTTTCAATACTTGGTTGCAAATCCTTTGCAGTCAATTACAGCCTGAAGTCTGGAACACGTAGACATCACCAGATGTTGGGTTTCATCCCTGGTGATGCTCTGCCAGGCCTCTACTGCAGCAGTCTTCAGTTCCTGCTTGTTCCTGGGGCCTTTTCCCTTCAGTTGTGTCTTCAGCAAGTGAAATGCATGCTCAGTCGGATTCAGGTCAGGTGATTGACTTGGTCAACAGTCCACTTATTTCCCTTCAAAAGGGTTGCTTTTGCAGTATGCTTCGGGTCATTGTCCATCTGCACTGTAAAGCGCCGCCCAATGAGTTCTGAGGCATTTGGCTGAATATGAGCAGATAATATTGCCCGAAACGCTTCAGAATCCATCGTGCTGCTTTTGTCAGCAGTCACATCATCAATAAATACAAGAGAACCAGTTCCACTGGCAGCCATGCATGCCCACACCATGACACTTCCAGCACCATGCTTCACTGAGGAGGTGGTATGCTTAGGATCATGAGCAGTTCCTTTCCGTCTCCATACTCGTCTCTTCCCATCACTCCGGTACAAGTAGATCTTGGTCTCATCTGTCTGTAGGATGTTGTTCCAGAACTGTGAAGGCTTTTTTAGACGTTTGGCAAACTCTAATCTGGCCTTCCTGTTTTTGGGCTCACCATCTTGTGGTGAACCCTCTGTATTCACTAGAGGTGCTGAAAAAAATCGATTCAAGTCTGAATCGGGATTCTTATTTATAAAGATTCAGAATCGATTCACAAAGGTTCAGAATGAGTTCCAAGAACTCAAATATTTGGCACGTTGCAGGTTTGAGATGCACTTTTTTGATCTTTGTTAGGGGAGTCAGTACTCCGATTACTTTTGTGGTCCCATAAATTGAGATGATTTATGTTTGAATCTGCTGATAAGAGGACACTTGAATGTAATTTTTTCTATACTCAGAAATTTGAGATATTCTCATATTTATTTTCTAAGTTGATAAATGAGTACTCAGGATTACTCATGTAACTTGTTTCTACACATACTCAAAAAGTATTTGACCGTATTACTTTCAAAGCTACTGTTAGGTAATTACAGATTTGTTATATTTTACAAGGTAAGCAAAAATAAATGTTGCCTTTTGGTAAAAAGGTTGTTTCTGTTTACAGTTTAGAATCACTTTAGTTTACAGTGTAAATTAGCTTCTTTGGAGCATAACCAGTTTGAAGTCTACTAAAAACGTCCCATAGCTTTAACTACCTTGTACAACAAAGTAGTTCATCCTGGAGCTCACACTCTTTGTTGATACTGATTGTGAATCGATTCAAATAGAGAATCGGTTCTGAATCGAATCGGCACCCCAAGAATCAGAATCGAATCAAATCGTGAGTTGCTCTAAGACTCACATCCCTAGTATTCACACTGGTGGAGTCTTCTCTTGGTTGTTGGCTTTGACACAGACACACCTACCTCCTGGAGAGTGTTCTAGATCTGGCCAACTGTTGTGAAGGTGTTTTCTTCAGCAGGGAAAGGATTCTTCGGTCATCCACCACAGTTGTTTTCCGTGGTCTTCCGGGTCTTTTGGTGTTGCTGAGCTCACCGGTGTGTTCCTTCTTGTTGAGGATGTTCCAAACTGTTGTTTTGGCCACGCCTACTGTTTTTGCTATCTCTGATAGGTTTCTTTAGTTTTTTCAGCCTAATGATGGCTTGCTTCACTGATAGTGACAGCTCTTCGGATCTCTTCTTGACTGTTGACAGCAACAGATTCCAAATGCAAATAGCACACTTGAAATGAACTCTGGACCTTTAATCTGCTAATTGTAATTGGGATAATGAGGGAATAACTCACACACCTGGCCATGGAACAGCTGAGAAGCCAATTGTCCCATTACTTTTGGTCCCTTAACAAGTGGGAGGCACATATGAAACTGTTGTAATTCCTACACCGTTCACCTGATTTGGATGTAAATACCCTCAAATAAAAGCTGACAGTCTGCAGTTAAAGCACATCTTGTCTGTTTCATTTGATATCCGTTGTGGTGGTGTATGGATCCGAAAATGTTAGCATTGTGTCCATGTCCCAATACTTATGGACCTGACTGTAATACATCGGCCGGCCTCTACGCTTTAGTGCAGTTGGTCCTACAGTAAAGCTTCTGCTGGAACGTTGCACCCCAGCCTGGCTATTATGGCACAACATGAGTAAATAACGCTCGGCAACAAGAACAGATGGATGAGAAAGTTGGCCTAAAATGGCTTCGATTCTATTAATGAAAGAATAAAACGAGGCATTTTTATTCTGATTGTTTTTCTTGTCACAGCTGATAAGAAGAAGCTGCAGCTGGCAGAAAAATACCTCGATTTGAAAAAGAGCGGGAAACTGGAGAACTTCCTGAGTAAGAAGAGGAAGAGGAACGCTGCGAAGGACCGCCGGAAGCTGCCCAGCCATAAGACTTCCTGAGACATCCAGTTATTTAAGGTCATGAGGAAAAAGACTGACCCGGTTCTGCTGAAGAACCCAGGTGGAACGTGACTTGTGAAGCTCAGAGGAGCAGTCGGGTCACCGTCCTTCCTCTTCAGCTGGACTCTGACCTGAGAAAGCCTTCACACATTCATATTTGTTTATTTGAAATAAAATACAAAGTTTTAATTTTTCTGTGTTTCTGATCAAGCATCTCGCTCCCTTACAACAGTTTTGTTCACGTGTCTGCAGCGTGAACAGTTCTTATTTTAACATCAACGTGACTAACGAACGAGGCCTGAGTGTTCCCAGTGTCAGACTGGGACCAGGTCAGCAGGTCCTTACTGCCACGTCTCAACCAGACCGTTTCAAAGGGGTTTAAAACGTCGGAGGAAAAGAGGAAAACGAGCAGGAATCCAGGTGAGAATAAGACTTCTCTTAAAGCGTGGTTTATCTGGTAAACATCGGCGCGATCTTCTAGCTTCTTGTCCTTTGTTTGGTGACACTTCCGCATTCCCGCCAGGCCGCGTTGCGGCGCGGTTCATCCGTCCAAGTTTTTTAAGGTCTGTTTATCCTCATTCCTCGGTGGTTTCTCCTCCTGTTCCCTCCATAAGTGGTTTTTATAAACACCGTAGATCTAACCCTGCTAATTTACATCCACTAACTCCAGCTGTTTCTGTAGTTTCTGATTCCTCCACCTCACTCAGCATGGCTCTATTAAATACCCACTCTGTTAACAATAAGTCCTTCCTGCTCAATGATCTAATTCTCTCTAAAAACCTGGATTTTCAGTTTCTGACTGAAGTTTGGCGGCAAACATCTGATTATTCTGCTCTGAATGAACTCTGCCCGAGTGGTTATTCTTTTCTTAGCCAGCCCCGGGGTTCTGGTCGTGGTGGAGGCCTAGCTGTTGTTTTCAGAGACCATCTTCCATGTAGCTCTACAACCTCTTCTCACTTTGCTTCCTTTGAACTGCAGCTGATTAAAGTCGGGCGTAAGGACCCGTTCTACTGTGCTGTGGTTTATCGTCCACCTGGTCCAAACAGTTCTTTCCTTCAGGAGTTTAGTGACTTTCTATCCTCCACTGTGAAGCTGTCCAGACTGGTGATTGTTGGTGACTTTAACATGCACGTTGATGATCCCTCAGACCACTCTGCAATGAACTTCTCCAGCCTTATGGACTCCTTCAGCTTTACCCAGCATGTTTCTGGCCCCACACACACCAGGGGGCACACTCTAGACCTTGTTTTTACCCTGGGTCTAAATGCTGACAGTGTTTGTCCCGAGGACGTTTATATTTCAGATCACCATTGCATTTTCTTTAACTTGTCAGTTTCTGCGTCCCCACCTCCTGCTCGCCGTATGGTTAGTTCTCATTTTCTTAATGAGAGCACAGCTAGCAATTTTTCTGCTGCTTTTTATCCACCCTGTTCTTCTGATAACGACCCAGATTCCTTAACTTCTCAGTTCAACGAGCACTGCCTCTCCATTCTGGAGAACTCTCCCCCTGAGCCTGAGATCAGTGGACTCAGTGGTCTCCTTTAAAAAGCAGCTGAAGACTCACTTGTTCAAGCTGGCTTTTGTATGACCTTCTTCACCTCTCTCTCTATTCGGCTCTCCCCACCTATTCCACCTTCCTCAGGATCCACTGATTTCCCTCTTTCCTGTTCACTCTCTCTTAACATGTTTTCTTTTAAATCCCAATTGCCTATTTTTGCTCATTTAAAATATATTTTTAAACATTTTCTAAATGCTTTTTTATATTTTAACATGTTTTTTTTTGTTTATGTGAAGCGCCTCATGATTTTTATCTTGAGAGGCGCTATAGAAATGATATTTTCTTCTTCGAAAACGTGCCAGAAGTCCGAGGGTAATGGCTCGCCCCAACATACTGAAAAAACAAACCTTTTGATCTTGTTCATACTTTCCCAACACTGCTGGTTGGACAGAATCTGAAGTTAACCAGCAACATTATCCGGACAACATGGAGGTTTCATAATTAACCATTTACAGCTGCACCGTAACCTGCCATGTGTGTTTCCTCAAACCTCTAATGACACACGAGTCATTCGGCGTGTGCGATAAGTTGGTAATAGACTACGTCTGATACTTTTGTCCTAACATTACTTTTATTTAAGATCAATAACAAAATTTCAGTCTCAAACAGTCCCTTCGTTTTCTGCCTTGTCCATATTTAGTAGCTGTGCAGAGGTATTAGCCGGGCCTGCTGGACTCGTCCTGTCTGCAGAGAACTATGTTCCCATAATGAAGCATGGGGCTGGCTGGTCCGGCTAGAGGTACGGGGTAACACCCGAGTTCAGCACACCCATTCATTCCATTACATTACGAGCCCTAAGAATGAATCTGGTGGATCTAATGAGCTTTCTAATGATTCATTATTGAAATCTTGTGTGCTGAAGTTCATCTCATAAAATACCAAACTCCAAATTCTCAGGTCAGAAAATGCTACCAGGAAATACTTTATTTTTCCTGAACATGAGGATGTTCTTGGGGGTTAATTAAAAAATTTGGAAAACACATCGTGTCTTCAGGGGGTGAAATTCATTGTCCGAGGTTTTAAAGGAGAAATTAACTAAAAAACTGCGTCGAGTTAATTCTGATTATAATGGGTCACTGAGTGTTTTATGCTCGACATGAAAATAGTCTACACCTACCTCCTGCATTAGCTCCTGATATAAAATAGTCTCCTACACCTACCTCCTGCATTAGCTCCTGATATAAAATAGTCTCCTACACCTACCTCCTGCAGTAGCTCCTGATATAAAATAGTCTCCTACACCTACCTCCTGCAGTAGCTCCTGATAGAAAACAGATGGTGAAACTCTAGGATAGAAAAGCCTGACAGATCTACGTCACTTAACATTCATGGACTCACGACGGGGAAGGCTGTTGTTGGTTTAGTGCCAGGAAACAGCAGAGAACGTCTCGGCTAGTAGAAGCTAACTGTTAGCATTAGCAACTCCACCACACAGCTGAACTCCAGGGTCGTGTTATTGGTGGAGATCAAACACCGACATTGCAGAGCAAACAAGAGTCCAAAAGAATGCTATCATAAGACGTCCAAGTATTTTCCAAGATGATTTAGTTGGAAGAGCAAGTCCGTTCTAATTCTGAAGTAACGTTTCTTCCAGCGATGGACTGGCAGGGTGTACCCGCCTGCTTGCCTGGAAACCACTGGAGATGGGCCCTGCCGCAACCCTGCATGGACAAGCGGGGACAGGAAATGGATGTTTTTCTTTTGGCTACATGAAAGAATCAGAATCAGAAGTTTTTATTGCCATATGTGTGCTAAGTCACAACATTAGGAAATTGCTGCGGTATTTTGGTGCAGAAGGTAAGATAGAAAAAAAATTAAGAGATAAGCAAATATAAGAACTAATAAAAGACTCATGATAAAATTATTTATGTAAAAAAGTGGCAAGAATTAGAGAAGCAGCTATCTACTCCGTGTAGGTATTAATCTGAGTGTTTGTTGAATGAAAGCTGAGGTGTAAAGCGCTTTGGAGGCCTCCGACTCTGAAAAGTGCTACACGAGTGTGGGGCATGTCATTTAAAACAGATTTAGAGTTCCTGAAGGCTTTTAGTGTTTGTTGTTTTGCTTTGTTGACGGGTTGCTGCTATGAAACTGGATGCTAGGAGTTTTATAGGCCCAGTTCCTGCTACTACCCTTTGAATTTATACGTTTAGCGTGCACTTTTGAGGAAACGTGCCAACGAGGAGCTTGTGTTTAGTGGAATATCTATGATGATGCATTATTTTGGTTTTTTCTCTTTAAATTTAGTTCAAAACAAAGAACAATGACAGAATTTCCACCGTTGACATTAGTTTTATTTCCAATGGTACACACACCTACACACGTACAGGATAACAATCAAACGGTTTCACTGGTGCTTCTACGTGGGTGTGACTACTCCAGTTCTTCACGGCCCGTTCCGTCAGCCCACTTGTCAGTTTGTCCTCTCCTGAAGAGTCTTGTATTTTAGCTCCATCTCGGCGCGAGTGCTGCTTTTCACAGCTTTCTGCAGAATCCAGGTGGTCAGGTGGATGGTGACAAAGGCCCCGCCAGCCATCCACAGCCACTTCCTCCTCATCCAGCTCTGAGGCTTCATGCTGACTGCTGCAGCAGAAGAGAACGTGTTACTGAATCTGTCAAATACAAATCCCACTCAAACCCACCCTTGATGGCAAGTTCTTGGATGAACAAAAACTGGAACTGAAGCATGAAAAAGAGCAGATCCGTACAAGATAGTCATAAATAAATCTTTTATATGAGGTAAAAAAAATCAAGATTTACACGCTTGTCCACTTTTAGGGCACTTGCACTTCTGTTTATGCAAGTGTGATTATTTTAAAAGTTAATTATGTAAAAATGACGTCCTGTAGTCAAATGTGAGCACTGCAGGTCGTTATTCAAGGAAAGAATACTTTGACTGCTGTTCCCTGAGTTTCACGGCTGTAGCCAGTTACGGATCGGAGATGGATGATTCTAGAACTGGGCTACTTAATTCTGGGCCTGGTAGGCTGGTATCCAGCACCTTTTAGTGGTTTCTCTGCTCCAACACACTAGATTCAGTGGTTGAATCACCTGCAGCAGCTCATCAGGCTCTGCAGAAGCCTGTTAATCACTTGCTGAGTGAAGGCAGGAGTGTTGAAGCAGGGCACACACTAAAACGGGCTGATACCGGCCCTCCAGGACCAGAATTGAATAGCCCTCATCTAGATGAGTCATACACAGGAAGTTGATAAATACGTTCTCATATAGGAGGATAGGGAGCACTTAGTACAATCATTACGGTAGTATGTTTGCCATCTTGCTGTTTTAGTTCTGAACGACTCGTAACAGGAAGTAAGACGCCTCAGTTGATGATGATTAATGACGTGCACTTGTACAGGACTCAAACGCTTTACACCACAGCAAATCATTCATCCATCCACACACATTCACACTGGTGGTGATAAGCTACACTGTAGCCACAACTTCCCTGGGGCGCACTGTCAGGCGAGGCTGCTGATTCCATTCACACACACATTTCACTGTAATGTCGACGTGTTGGCTTTGATAAAGTAGCTTGAGATTTTTTTTAGTGCCAACTATTTGCTAATTCACCGTTAGCGTTGTTAGCTGTAGCCTGCTTCGCCTGATATTAGAGTAAAACAAAAAGACTTCTCAGGG